ACCACCACCACCGCCACCACCGCCACCATCGCCACCACCACCATCACCACCATCACCATCACCACCACCATCATCATCACCACCACCATCAACACCACCACCATCACCACCACCGCCACCTGCTTTCTGCAGGTTGTCACTTTATTCGCTTTAATTCCTCTCTCTCATTCTCAGTCATCTCGTTCTGATCTCTTTGTTTATTCAACTTAATTTTTTTTTATGTTAACCATTCTTTTCGCCCGTCACCATTTCCTTCCATCTTTCTTTTTTTCCCTCCTTTCTCTATTTTTCTTTCGTTCCTTTTTCTTTCTTCGTTTCTTTCTCTCTTTTCTTTCTTAATTTCTTTCTCTTCTTCCTTCAGGTCTTTCTCTCTTTTCTTTCTTCTTCCATTTTTCATTCTTTTGTCTTTTTTACTTATTTTTTCCCTTTCATTTGTTCATCTATTTAGTTCCTTCATGCTTGCATTACTCCTTTCTTCCTGCCACTTACTTTCTTTGTTAGAGTTTATAATTTCTTTTTCTGAAGATTTTAAAAATAATTCACTTCTAACTCTTGGAGAGAGAAAAAAAAGGCTACTTCATGTTTAATACAAAGCTTTGTTATAAAGTACCTCCTTCTGTTTTATATATTATCATATCATGAAGTAGTATAAAAACTTAATGTTTATATTATTTATGTCATTACCAAATTTGATATTCAATGCTTTTTAAGCATATTGCTGAATGTTCTTAAATTAATAATATTTTTTTATTTTGTAGCTTGTTGACGAGCTGAGCCGGGATCTAGAACAACTTCGTAAAGAACAGGGAGTATCAAATCCTGCAGACAGTCAACACAGTGCACACCTTGCAGAACTGCAAAGTGAACTTAGCAGGTTACGTCAAGAAAATAAAAGTGAGCCCTAAAAATAAATGTGTTAATAGAGGAGTTTTAGTCGGTAGATGTGTTGCAATAACTCTACCTTAAACGTTTATTATTTTCAGGTCTGCGTGAAACAAATGAAGATTTACAAGCTCAAATATTAACTCGAGGAGTTGAAGAAGGTCGTAATCTACTCGGTAGTGGAAACAGCATTGCTGCAGAACTTGAAGCAATGTCTGGAGAAGAGGTCAGTGGTGCATGATTTGTTATTAATTCCCCTAATTTTTCAAAATTGTTTGTCAACTATTATTTGACATTAGTTGACAACTATTTTCATTAGTTGACATTAAATTTTCTCTTCCAAACCGTGAAATTAAAAGAATGCCCAACTTTAAAACAATTCACCAGAGGAGTGATTTTGTTCCCTTTGAAAATTTCATACTCTGTATTCTGTAGATGTATGAGTATGCTTGAAGAAGTGCTTCACTGTTTATTAAAAATGATTTATCAGTTTCCATTTCTTTGATTATTAAATTTAAATTTTACTGAAGTAAAACTTGGGAATTTGAATTAAAGCAAGAGTTCCACTTTCCCCACGTTAATAGTTTGCTGTAGTTTTCCTGTTCAAAAACTTATTTTACACACGTTCACAGAGGAACTTTTATTCAACTCTCAAGAAGTATTCAAAAATTACAGTCTTAATTTGTCATAGTTTTTCCTAGCTATTCTTCCAAATGTCCTTTTCCCATGTACCCATCATTATCAATCTGTTGCATTACAATAGATCAAAATATTGGTGTGTGCTTATTCTTTATGATTATATTAATGTGCTTTATTAATGGTTCTGTGGAGAGTATTGTGTATTTATTGGCTGATTATTTTGGTAGACATAAAAAGCATTGTGTTGTAAGACATGAGTCACACCTTGAGTACTGAGGTAGCAATTTGCAGTTTAAGATTTATTCTAAGTTAAAATAGGTATATTAATTCTTACATTTTCTTCTTTTGCACTACGTAGATTTTTGTGCATTAGATTAACAGTTTGGTTGTGGGGTGCCTTTGTAGCTTGTCCAAATGCATGAAGCTATTCAGAGAACATGGTCAGGGTGGATACGCTTATGTTGCTTTCAATGTTGTTCTGCTCTCCTTCACAGCTCTCTGGCAGCACACTGGGGCATCTATCATATGAGAAGGTAGGTTTATGCTTTAAATGTGTAGAGCCAAACCCCAGAACTAGCCTGTAATAGATTACCATATATTCTGTAGGATCATTTTGGGTAGAACATAAATTCAAAAAATTATTCAATAATCTCTCTACAAATAAAGAAGGGCAGTAAGAAAGCCTAAGTGGTGCAAGATCACAGGGGAGGTGTGCCCCTGTTACATCGAAGGCTATGGGTTTTATCCTGCATAAGCATGGATGTTTCCACCAGGTTTTTGTGGCATGCCAGCCTTCTCACAGTTCTGTGTATCACATTCCCCAGCTACCATTCAACTATTACCTATCACTACATCTGGTCAATAAGACCTGAGATAGGATAATGGAGGCAAAATGAGGGTGGAAGCTTCCTTGGGCAAACTGGACAGAGGGAGGAATATCATGACTGGACATGAAACGTTCAGACATTAAAACTTTAACTTTAGGTGCCTAAAAAGGCGTTACACAATTTAAAAATAGCCTAGGAAAAGGGAAACAAATAATTGGAGGTTGAACGGGAAAAGATATGTTGCACTTGCATCTAAAATTAGCAGAATATTTGTGTTTAAAACAATATAACCTGAGAGGGAAAATTGATTTATAACATTGTTGGGCAACAGACAAATAAATAATACAAGTGACCTACAAGTTCTCTTCATTACTAAAATTGATACACATATAACATCTGTAGCACTTCAGAATCTGGTAAATCCAGAGGCTTGAATTTTTAAAAAGGAGTATTATTTCTAAGCTATCTAAATGGATATGTTTCTGATAGGTCAGTTTGGTTCATTTGCACATTCTTCTCTCATGGTGAAAGTAATGGGATTTGATTAGCTTTCATTTGCTTATATTCCCAAGTTTTTAACAATGTATGTAAATTGTGGAGATATTCCTAAAATAATCTATATATCTGAAGGTAGAACTACTGTATTGTTAACAAATGTTGCTGTTTCTTTTTCTTGGGTTGTAGGCAAGTCAAAAGTTTATAGTACATATTTATTACTGGTCCCAGTGCACTTCCTCAAGGGACACCAGACAGTATAGGGTAAATGGAAGATAGTTCATTATTATATTTAATAACATGGGTATTTTTAGTATTTCTTCAGTTTGTAGAAATGCATTAAAAAGAAAAATTCCTAAAAAGGGGGTTTCTGTCAAAATAGGCAAAATAAAACTTCACCAGACTTGTTATACTAAACACTTTCAAATGAGTTAATTTGTAAAAATCAGACATTTTCTTGAACATCCTCTGTTAAATAGCACACATCCTGATGTGGACTCATGGGACTTGTAAGCAGCTGTGAGTTAGAGAATTGAGAAAAATATTGGGTTTTGTTAATGAGCCTCATTTATGCTATTTAAATAAATCGGCAAATGGATGATCTTCATTTAAAAATCAATACCTCCAGTTACCCACTTATGCCATTCACTCTTATTTCAAAGGAAAATGTATGGTTCTGAAAAGATCTCAATTTATTTCTGATATATTAAAAAAATATTCATTCTTGAAATTCAGTTCTCTGATAACATCTTATGCGCTGCTATTAAATATTGAGCCTGTTGCTTTTCCATTAACTTCGTAACTTTATTTTAATTTTTCTCTATTAATCAATATCTGGTACTAAATTAATTCAGTTTTAAAATCCATAAAATGCAGTATTGTTATCACGAAATACACACATACACACACACTCGCACACATGTACTCACTTGCACAAATAGGTGCAAATATACACAGTTACATGTGCCTGTACACACACTACTCACATGCACGCGCACACACACATGCGTGTGCGCACGCGCGCGCGCACACACACACACACACACACACACACACACACACACACACACACACATATACACATACTCAAATGCTTGCTTTGACACACATGCATAGATGCACATGTCATGGATGTGTGCATGCTTTCATATACATTCATGTTTTATATTCACCGAAACACTATTTACACACATTTGCTTCACATGGCTTGGCTTACATATGCTAGGAAGTAATTGAACATAACTATTACATTTATATAAAATATCAATGTTTATTCATGATTTTTTTAATATTTAGAATGTAACAAATATAACTTAATTTAATTTATTTCTCTAGATCAAGGCTTTTAATTTCAGTGTTCATAAAGATGAATTTTTAGTTTACTTCCGTTTTCATTAATCATACTGTGTTTTATTAAATTGACGATTGTATGCTACATTATACATTAGTCATTTCAAATATTTGGGCTCTGTATGGTTAAAAAACTCAGAAGCAATGAAAACATTTTTGGGGCTGCGTCTGCCATTCTCTGATTAGATCATACTTACATTATATCTATCTGCTTTCATTACTTAATTTCTTTCAAGACCCCGTTATTTTTCTTTGCATTTAACTTTTTGCACACTTTCATTTTCTGAAGCTTTGGTGTGTATTACCAGCACAAATAACATCATTATTGGTATGTTTTATCTAGGCAGGTTCAAGGATATTTTATGTATTGTTTGAACTGCATTTGCATCAGAATAGCATGGCTTGTATTGTGTGTGTGTTTTAAAGTATTTTTAAATACGAGTGTAGATGATAGTTTAAAGTAGTTGTGTATGTTTTCACCCAATACCAATTGATAACTCCGTCCAATACCAATCTGCCTGTTTCTGAAAGTTCTAATTATATATATATTCATTATCCTCTACAGCTAGATCATTTGTTAAAACATACTCAGTAGAAGTTGTAAACAATCTTACATGCACCTTAGAGAAACACTCTTAATTCATGTGAAATATACTCAAGTATATCATACTTGTTATTGGAAATACGTGAAAACTATACCCTAAATTGTGTACTATATTTTTAAATAAATGCCGCTTGCAGAATTTACATCCTTTAAATGTTCTTATGTAGGTTGTTGTTGAATAATCTAATATATTGCATTTTACTAGTTTTTTTTGAAATTACAGTTCTGTTTCTTCCTTGTTTTTACAGATGCGTACAGCACTCAAGGAACAACAGGAAGTGAACACCCAACTACGGTCTTACATTGATGGAATGTTACTGAATATTGTTGAAAATTATCCTCAACTTCTGGAAGTTAAAAGTAATTAAGTACACTAGGTAATTTACTTCAGTTATTTAAAATTGTTTAACTGTATATTTAACCTACAATATCATTATTTTTCTGTTCATGTGTCCTGTATATTTCTATTTATGATTATTTTTTCATTTATAGCCATTATCTTTCATCTTTTTTGATCTTATTTTTGTTATGTTGTAGGAAAACATTATTTCATGACATTCTGCTTCTTTCTAAACCTTCTGTCCTTAACTTGAGAATTAATTACCTAAAAATAAGTATTTTGTTTCAGTAATACTGAAATAATTGTGGCCCGCAAAATGGACTCACACTTAAACTCTTGAGAAGATCTGTGGTGTGAAGTGAATAGTGTTTGAAATGTCATTGGAGAAAGACTGATTTGTGTGATTTAAGCCACATTCTACAAGAATCTCGGGAAGAAACATAATTGATTGAAAAGGCAGTGCTGTCAAACAGTGCTTTCTTCATTTCAAATAGCTGTTTATTGTTGTTGGTAAGAATTTGCACATCAGTAATTTGAGCTTAGTTATTATGTGCTTTGTAGACAATACTGTGCATATACATCATTCATGTGCTGGATAAGAAGTATATTTAAAAAATATATTCCAATTCCCTGCTCTTGGATGATAGTTATGCAGATTTTCAAAATGAATCATACAAACCCCAAATAAAAATTTTGAAATGTGGTGGAATTTTACTGTTTTGAATTGTAGTTGTTACAGTTCAAATAACTTTTGAACACTAAGGTTTTGGTAATATAGCTCTGCTAGGAAGTAATTTATATATAATTTTCTAAAAAAAATTGTTACCTGTGTTGTGGATGATAAGTTACCTTTAAAGGACTTGTCAATACTGCAGAGTGCTGTGAGCTTATTTGCCAGGATTTCTTCAAATTATTTCAGAAATTGCTGTGAAGCAATTGTAATAAGAAAAGAAAATGTTTCTCCCTATGCAAATTCGTTCCAATAGTTACAAACCTTTTGAAAAAAGTTTCCAAGCATCATCAGGTGTAAATGTTAGAGGCATCTCCAGAAGTGTTCTTTAAAATGTCAGATATTGAGCTTTATTAACATTAATTTTTACCTTGCAGAATACTGTTGATGATGGTGTGTACATGCTTTATCACAGATTGTTGTTCTTAGCAAATAAGATAAATATTTTGATATTTAAGGTAAAAAATTGCAAAGAGCTCTAACATACTACATATATCTGTTACTATTAGAAAAGATTTTATCTATACATATTCATCAGTGCATGTATGTCCCAATGCCAAATGTGAAGCAAGAGAAACAGGACACACTCCAGCTGATATGGTAATCTTTGTCCTTTTTGCTGTGTCCTGGAGGAAGTTTTGATGTATTCTGGTTAATCTTGTATCTTGGAGGAAGTTTAGATATATATGATGCACAGGCAAAATGTTTATTATAGTTCAAGAAGTTTATTTTGCAATGACTATGTTGAAGCTTGGAATATCCGTCCTTTAAGTGGAGGTGGCTGTGAAGAAATAAGATTACATTTGTTGACTTTGCTACTCTGTCGGTTATTGACCACTTTTATTATAAAGTTATTTATTGCTCCATTTTGCTTTACAAAAAATATTGGTCACTTCTATTATAAAATAAGATGTTTTAGTTAATTCTGTTCATTATGTTGATGAAAGTTTGCCACTATGTTTCATAATTTTTTTTGAGAAAAATTATATAAACATGGAGGTGAATTCCCTTAAAAACACTCATGTTGTCAGAAAATGGCCACATTCAATTTAAGGAACATTTCTCTGTATAAAACCTAACTTGTACATGTCTGTAATATGCATCAGAATAGTTAAAGGGAAGGTTTCAAAGAATGAAAACCTGAAAATGGAATGATGAAGGATTTTTTCTAATATCAGCTAGTGGTTTCAAGCAGACATCCATTTGTGGAGAGGAAAAGAAGAAATACAGCAAGAATTAATGTGTATATATATCCTTAGATTTCTTGCCTTCTTTGAATATAAACATTTGTTTTTCTTGTAAAATCTGTGATATACCTGTAAAGCACTGGTGTATAACATTTATATACATTTTTTAATGTACATATCTGAATTAAAAAAATGTACATTTTCAAGAAAATACGACTTTTTTTTGGAATGCATGAGTGTGTGAGTGTTCAATTTGGAGTTGAGCATAATGCAAAAGGAAAAAGGTTAATTGTGTTTTTGCTCTACAAATTTAATGTTCACAAGTTCCATGAGTTATCATAAAAATTTATTAACATCATCTTGCAATTCTGGAACAGAACAGCCTTTCCTGGCTTTCTGTGGAATGTTCTACATTATTCTCAAAAACCAAACATAAGGAGACTAAAAGTTCTTAATATTATTTTCATATTCATTGAACGTTGCTTGGTGCATTAAATTTCAGCAAGAGTTCACTTCCAAATTTCTTATAACAAGGAGTCGGATGACTGGGAACATTAAAGTACCTAGGATCTGATGGAAGCTAAGTACCATATTACTCAATCAATCAATGCTTTTCAATATAATATTTACATTTCATTTCACGTCTCTCATGATTTTAATAGGTCAGTAAAATTCATAAATCAGCTCTTGAAACTGGCAGCAAGTGTCACTAAAATTTTATTTGCACAAGTAAAAAGACAATTGGAATTTATTTGTTTGAAGACAAAATAAAGAAGGAATATAATTAAATACTTCCTGAAGACATAAAATAATAAACTATTTTTTAATATCATCATTATCATCATCATCATCATCATGAACTATAAAGTCTGTAGGTGTAACAGCCTGTTCCATGAGCTATGCAGTTAAATATTCATTGTAATGGTATTTCTCCTTATAAGATTATCTCTTAGCCTCTAAACAATCACACAGGGTATTTACATTCCTAGCATTATTAAAACCATATCTCTGGGAAAAGTGTAATGATACATATTTGCTTCAGAAAGGTAATTAATCCTTTCTGTTGAAAATTTCCCACTCCAATTTTCCTTGAAAGTAACATCATTGAAGTTGAAGGAGATCTCGGACATTCCATGTGTTTTCAGCCCCTGCAACACGTGTTTTCAGTCATTGTGGCTAAGTATCCTCAATCAAGTTGTAATGTGTGTGTTATGACTTGTTTAAGTGTAGTTTTCATATTACATTTTTTTTATTTTGTAGTTTCCTTCAATAGTGTAATTTCCATATAAAAACTCTTTACTTTTTTTTAACAAACATTATTACTTGGGACTCTATACTTCATCAGCATTTCCAATTTTCAATGACTCTGTGATAAGTAGTACTGTATATGATTGTGATTTTCCTATTAAATATCAAACATAATTTAGATGCAGGAAGTTTATATTATATACAATGAACCATGTATATATAAATGCAAATCACAATATTAAAAATTAGATTTATTAAATTAAATGTATAAAATTATTGTGAATGACAATAAATGTTTTCAAGCAAAATATGAATAATAATTAGCAGTTTTGAAAAAGAATTCACTTATTAGGAAAACAGTCAAAATGTGCAAGGTATTTATAATAAAATCACATTTAAATGATTGGAAATTGAGTTTCATGAACATACTTAACTGAGAATTATTATTTCTGGCAACAGCGGAAAAATATGTTGCATTGAAATCATGTCCCTAACCGTGACATTTCAATAAAATAAAAACTTAAATTTGGCATCATATTATTGGTGTTTTTTCTTCTTTCCAGCTGAATTTGATATTAAACACGTGACTTTTAAATTTATTGTAGGGTGTCTACTTGGCTGTCTGGGAGACACCGCATACTGGGCACAGATGGCCATCTTGCTGTGACATGGGGAGAAGGTCACAGCATGATGGCAAAAATGTTGATTACTGTGCCTAGGATGTGGTGTCTTCCAGACAGCCAAATAGATGCTGATTCCAGATGTGACAGCTTTCACTTCTTTGTAGGTTGTTGAAGATATCCCTCATGAAAATTCACGTTTCAATTTCCCTCACTTGCAAGGGTTAAATGAATTTGGTGCTTTAAAAAGTTCATGATTGATATGGATTGAGAAAAAGAAATGAATAGCATTAATGAATTCAGAGTATGAAGTTAAAATTATTTGAAGTTTTGCAAAAACACATGAATACTTCTGAAGAACAAACGTTTTTAGACAACAGAAACAATAATCACTACATCTGTTTCAAAGAACATCAAGAGAAAAGTGTGAGAATATTTATTTATTTATTTATTTAGATTAAATATTTTATTATTTTATTTATTTATTATTATAGATTAAAAGATAATTTACAGAGAATGAACATCAACAGATTGTCAAAATTAATCTGAAAGCACTCACCAAGAGGGATCAGAGATTGAGGCAGACCTCAAAAGAGGTGGTAAAAGCAGGAACTAATAACTAAAACAGGAAGACTAATAATCTACCAAGAATACTGTAATAGACCAATAGATAAATGCTGTAAAGCCTAATTTCTGGTCAGTTGATGATGATGAATTCTTAAAATTTATGACTAAATAAATTTCTAAATTTGTTTCTGAAAAGCTGGTTCATTTGTTCAGATTTATTTATACATTGGGCATGCCCAATATATTATGTATTGTATTGAAATGTATTATGCATTGAGCATGCAGCATTGCTACCTGATATTAGATCTTTCTTTGGTAGGCCCTACTGACGACTAGTGCGCACACAATGTGGTGATACCCTCACAAATGCTCGTGCTTACAAGAAAATGATTTCTGACTGATAAGAAAAATGTAGTCTATTACCGATTTATATTTTATTCAAGTCTGAGACCTTGAGTGTGATGGTCCATGTCCCCTCACTCGAAATTCAATCTTACCTTTCGTTGCACACATATACTAGCAAAATACATATATCTACATCTGTTGGCAACATTTTTGAGACTGAAATGGTATTCACTTCTTTATGATGTTTGGTGAGCTGTTCCATGAATCACAAGAACTATAAATTATAAATCACCAATTTCAAGATATTTGATGTTAATAATAACTATTTTTTCCTTATTTTTCCACAAATTACATTGAATATGCAGAAATATGTAATAACTTTAACTAACTATGGCTATGGCAAAATATGCAAAAATACATAAAATAAAATTTGAGGATCAGAAAGTCTCAAATATCAAACAACTATCTTAAAAAAAACTTGTGTTGGACAGACTCCAGTTTAATTAAAGAAGTTTCAAAGAAGGGAGACCAAACTACCATTGAGTACATCAGTACTGGTCTCAAATGCATTAGATAAAGTGACTTCAAAACTACTTTTGACTTCAACTCATGGCAGTTGCATTTCACAAATCCTAAGATCTAGTCTGATTTGGTGATAGTGCAAAAATAACCATAAGCTTTTTTTTCTGTTGCATGTATTTGAACAGGGGCAGATGGGGGGGGGCATTGGGCCCAAGCCTCTACCCTCCCTCACATAATCGGCTGTAACTGCCACTGTATATGAACTTCAAACTTGCATGACATTATGAATCACATTTTACAAACTTCATCACATTACAAAGAAAATGAAGGTCAGAATCATCACAATAACAATGTCACTTCGAGTACTTTATTTAAGTTCTTAAAACAGTAACTTATTGGCCTATCCTGGGATGGATGAGATAAATTTGATAGTTTCTAAACACTTGATAACTCATTTAATTCATGCATCAAAGTACAGTAAATGAGCACTGAATTGTTGGGAAAGAATCCAGAGAAAACGCTACAATAATTATACATTGAGTTTTTAAAGTTTCATTGAAATATTAACCAAATGAATTTCTATTTTTCCATGAACATGTTCAAGTCGCATTCAAATCTATAAACAAAATTCAAGCATGTATGCATTTTCAAAATAACTGCCTTTTTATTACTCTCATATGCTCATTTATTAGATATAAAATTCTTTTCAGTTGTTCTTTCAATTTATATCTGCCTGTTTGTCCAGGGTAACCTCTGAAACAGCCAAACCAATGTTGATGTGTTTTCTATTGAAAGATAATATTACAACCTAACTTGGACTACTTGAGAAAAGTTACTGTCTACATGAGATGTCATGAAATTTATTCCTATTCCCTTTTTCTTCTCTAAAGTAAAATTGAAGTGTGCACGCTTTCAGTAAATTGCTAATATTTTGAAAACCTTGAGTAAATTGATGAGAGTGAATTTAAACTTTCTTAAAGGCGGTACAGTTTTCTACAAAATGCTTTTTGATTCATTTTAATAGCATGATTAAATTTGGTGTAATTAAAGGTGAAAATTATTTCTGGACGTTCGCCAGGGGCAGGGTAGGCCAGATTGGGTTAGGTTGGATGAGACACGCAGGAAACTCTACAGATAAATTCATTATTTTTCCTCTAATTGATAGTTGAGATTAATAAGTGACCAGACAATTGTGAATAATAAATTGACAGTTAAATATTTTAAGAGTTGTAGTATATTTTGTCATTTTTTAATAGATATTTGATTCCTTATTGAATTTTATTACTGTTGCGATATACAGAAGTTTCAAAATATAACTACCCTAAAATACAAAACTTTTCAAACTGTAAATTGGCTATTAACATAAATTTTCTTAATAAAGTGTATGAAGTTACATAAAAGATCACAGTGTTTAATATAGGATGTGAAAGTTGAAAGAATTAATATAAAAATTATTCTCTAAGAGGTCTTCCATAAATTACATAACATCAAACACATCAGTGAGGGGGTTGAGGCAGTGTTATGATGTGTTGCATAGGGGAAAGGAGAGCATTAGCCTAGTGTTATGTAACACTATTTTTTTCAACATTAGCTGAAATAATTCCTTTTTTTTCATTCTCATCCTAAAACATTACAATATTAATTTTTTTAAATTAAATAAATGAAAGTGATTATGTGTAATTGTAAAATAAATGGAATTTTTTTTTTCATTAATTTTTTTATTGAATCTGAAAGATTACTAAGAAAATATTCTAAAGTTATCTATATTCTAGAATCTAATTAAATTAGCGCAGTAATCTCTCCCCATGTAACTTTCACGAGGGTGTGAGAATGGCTTATTGTTAAACACTTTCACATACAAATGCATTCTTCTTGCATCATACAAAAATTGTTTCAAATTTTAATATTAACACCAATAAAATTGAAGGACTGGGCAGAACAAGGAGCTATCCCATGTACACATAGTTCTGAGAAAATGAGGATTTTACCTCAACTTCCCTCATATAACTCAATACATTTTAAACTTTTAAATACTGTACACTTGCATATAAAGTCGTGCTAAATTTAAATAACATATTACACTAAGGTAATAATATTTGAAGATTTGTATAATGCTACTTACTCAATTTCACAAAAATGAGGATAGCCCCTTGTTCTCTTGTGCCCTTCAATTAATACAAATTGCTTTTACTGTAGCATAATTTTTTTTACTTGTAAATTGGGAGGGGAGTGTTGCTGTGAGGATTACGTGATTATTTAGGAGTGGATCAAGTGCATGTTACAGGAGGGGAGAGGGGGTATTCAAAATACTTAAAATTAGCATTATGTAATTTGTAGATGGTCCCTAAATAGAAAATCATATATATAGTATAATTTCCAATCAACATATTTCTAGCAAATGAAATGCAGAGATTGTAAATACTTAACATGATACTGTAACATTTAAACGTATCCTAATATTAATCTGAATACCATTTTATTAGCAATCAATAAATAACAATTAATACAAATTACATTTTGATTGTTCAAACTTCCATCTGTGACCAAGTGGAGAAATGTGTAATAATAATTATCAACACAATTTTATTTCATTACTGTTACTAGTAATTTCCTTTTATTTATTAATACCATACATTTCTGAGTAACAATAGTTCTAAGCAGTAGAGAGCAACAAACCATACTTAAATTTCAAAATTAGAAATGAAAAATCATTGGATTTGAATTTATTCTCATTAATTAATAAATAAATGAAAGAATGAGAAAAAGAAGTTCAGAATGAGAAACAATAAATTCACATTGCATAGCTTGCATGAATTTCAAACTTAAAATGATAGCACATAGCTAAACTGAATTAGAAATAATATGCAGCTATGTCAATATATATATTTTTTAACTGTTACTAACGTAACCAATGATAATCTTATAACTGTTGTGAGGATCATTTTAATTGTCATTATGCACAACTCTCAAAGAATGAGATGCTGAAGAAACAAAATCTAGTTCCTAACAGAAAAGATACATACCACATATCTTGAAACATTAGCAATAGAAAGTGTAATTGCTATAATATATTACTCTTCATCAGGGCCGGATTTACCTACAAGCAAAACAAGCAGTTGCTTGGGGGCCCCCATTCACCAGGGGGCCCGTGTTTCGGAAAAATACACATACCATATTTTTTTGTCTGTGAAATAATTATTAATCAAGTAGTCTACTGTGTAACAAAATGTACAATTTCAAAACATTTTTTAAAAATATTATTACATGTTAAAATTAATCTAATATTAACTATACTTTATTTCCTTTACTTCTGACATCATCGCCCAATTTTCTGCAGTGAAGAGCAGAAAAAAAAATTATGTAAAATGTATTTATGTAAAAAAATGTAACAACAAGTAAAATTTCTATAAAAATTATCAGTTTTCCATTTGTATCTGTACAGAAAGTACTTGTACTATAATACATTTTTTATTTAATAAAGATTGAGCTACTTTGGGGGGGGGGGGGGGGCAAAACACTTTTGTGCTTGGGGTCCCGCACTACTTAAATCCGGCCCTGCTCTTCATTGAGCTTCATAGGATATTTTTTCATTGAATATTTTTCTAGTAAGTAAATAAAATATGCTACATGGAGAATGAAATTATAACTTCAATGATACAATTAATAAATACAGTTGATAATATGTAAAACCGTAGAGGAACCAATTTTACTCTTGGTTGAATCATTTACAGGATTGACAAATGTCTTGGAGAGCCTCTTCCCCAAATTGTTTTGTTACGAAGGGAGAAATCAGGGATTTAACATATTTACAGAAATAAAATGTTTTATATGATAGGCTTTGGGGCTGTTTTCAAAATTTCAAAAGGGAGGGAGAGCTCCTTTGGCTCCCCCAGTGTGCACACTTATGGTAATCATGCTTTCTTTTGAAGGAAATGGAAGTGGAAATGGAAAAACAGGATTAAATTATCTTTTTGAATTTGAAAATCTAAATAAAATTGTAATTACAGACATTTATTGTCAAAATTACAGCAATAAATATTTCAAATAGGAAATGGGATAATTTTTTTTTTAAAGTACTACATAGCAAAATGTATAGATATGCCTTCCACAGACTGAACCATATTTTTTATTATTGACATATTATTAATGGCCTCATTAAGAGTTGCTATTAGGATTCTTGTGTCTTTTCTTGGGTATTGTTTTACACATAGTTTTGACAAATGCACTCGCCTTGCATGGGGCACATCGCCAACAATCACAATTATCAAATGTTCAACTCACACTAAACAGAAGTGTGCCTAAAGGGCAACAATGAGTGGAATATTTAGATCTTTCCTTGTTTTGGGAGAGCATTTAATATGCCCCTTTTCACTACCTAGTTTTTTTAGATTTGTGTCTAGCTAAAATAGCAAATAAAATAATAAGTCACTGAATTATTCACAGAGGTCAGGGCTGGCACTAGGCATGGAGAGACTGGGATCACACAGTGCCTTGCAAGTCAATGCCCATTGATGGGGCTGATGGGAAAAAATTAGTAAAAATTTTGAAAAGGAAATTAACTCGAGAAATTGGTTATCATAATTTTATAAGTTGCGGTACAGTGGTCTCATATTTCATACAATTTTCAATTAAATTTTTATCTTAAATAGTTAAGTATAGTCATTACTTGTAAAGTAGGACTTCAAAATCAGTCAAATGATGCTAACTGGTTCTATTGAAATTCATATTTATTATTTAATGTATTTAACAACTAATTTTTATTAAACACTAACTAAACACAACCAACATTTTTAGAGTTTTAGTGGAAATGTTGGTTGTGTTGGTATTTTCTTTTAAAATCTCCATTGCGATACAGGCAGCTAGTCGGAAGAGAATTCTCAACTTCGGAAGTGTCATTTTTCTTGTCATTCCAAGATCTGTTTTGTTGACTTTTCATGAAAACTTTGAGCGAGTCACCGTGGAAATTGTACAATTTGATCATTGAAAAATTTACTTGAAACTATTATTTAAAATATATTTTTAAAACCTTTTTCTACCTTAACTATTGTAAATTTTGTTATTTGTTGAAATAAATAAAATAACTCGGATAGATACTTGATAGACTTTAACATTTTTAATTTTTATTCGGGGAGTGTGTGTGAGTGTGTGTGTGGGGACTACGTTTGGGGCCCAAAATTGCCTACCTCCGGCACTAGATGTAGTTCAGTTTTTATCACATACAGTACAAGTACTAAATGAAGTCATTGGGTTCTGATTGTCCTTGGTTACTGACATAGCATAAATTAATTCATTTGTCGATCACGTTCCTGAAAATGAATTTAACTTCAAATTGAGATATTCTACTCTCGTGGCTAAATGCGATAATTTTTGTAAACACTGCTCTTCTGTTTGGTTCATCAAAAGTTTTATATTGGCCAGCGAAATTTTTATGTTTTTCAATTCAGCACTTGCTAGACGAATTCCTTTATCAGCCCCAAGCATAGCGTATTTTCTTTTGGAATCTCCGTTGCAATACAGGCAGCTAGTCGGAAGAGAATTCTCATCTTCGGAAGTGTCATTTTTCTTGTCATTCCAAGATCCGTTTTGTTGACTTTTCATGAAAACTTTGAGCGAGTGAACTTTGTTATGTCCTTCCCTTATTTCGGCTTTCAACCTTTCTATTTCCTCATTCTGAGCCACAGCTTCCAGGAAGGTGACGTTGAGGGTACCTCGCACCTCAGTTAACCATTTTCGCAGTACCATAATAAGCTGATGGAGATATTGATTCGCTCCGTGGTGGTCAACACGGTCGAATTCATAATCATCAGTAGATTGTTCAAGTAACGCATTTCTTTTCAAAGTTAACTGCTTCAAGTTATTTTCAAGCGTGTCTATTTTTTGACGCAAATCTACACCCTCGTTGTACAAACTCAATGTTAAGAAATCTACCCGAACAGTTTTCTCGTCCACTGTTGATATTTGTTTTTTGTGTGTCCGTATAAATCTGAACAAGTCACAAGACGTCATCCTTTCGCATAAACGAGAATGAGTGAGAGAAAGAAACAAAACGAAGCACACGACACACGCCAAATTCTTCCACATGTTGAACGGAAGGAATCTACACAATTTTACTCGACCGCACTAGAACTTGAAGATGTAGTTCAGAATCAAGTAGCATTAGTAGAAGCCAAAAAAAGTCCTATGATGATTTTTTGTAACAATTATGGTTTTCAATCGGGTTTAATTTTTCGGAAGATCATTTCACTCTTTAAATATTATAAACGAATCGCTCGTAGTCTCTTGAGCTGCCTCGAGTCCTGTTGGGATCTGTGACCTTTGCTTTCTAATCTCAGATTCCGAACTCAGCGACCCACATAGCACAGAGATAATCATAGCTGCGTTTTCCAAGACTTGCTTTTTAAAGCGTGTAACATATCGTCAATTGTGCATCGCAAACATCCGCCGAACTATGAGACATTGCTAGATTAACTTTTTGAGTTATTAAGTCAAGATCAGTTGGGACCGCACCATAATTTTTTCTATTTTGCTTTAAAAGTTCCTTAGAGAAATAAAACTATGAAATACATAGCGACGATTACAGTACGCGGGAGGGGCTTTTGACACCCAGAAACAGCCGGCGGGTTTGCAAGAGATGCGGAACGCTTCAATCTTCACTTCAAAAAGCAAATTAAGTCAATAATTAGTGTAAATACAGGGCATAAGATACAATAGAAGTTTTGCAAACCGAAAGAATGAGAAGAAAAAGTGGCATGCATTCAGCGATTCAGTTTAAATGTTATAATACATTGGCATTATTCTAAATCGGTGGATATGGACGACCACATAGGTGCTGGGGCAGAGATCCCTGGTCTCTCTAGAAATTTGAAAGGGCCAATAAAACATTCATACGCAATAAAACATTTATTTACGGAAGTATATTAAATTCCTGATAAACATGACATATAGACACATTTCGAAATTTACAGTGATTAAAAAGGAATTGACATATTCGTCTACCCGAATATTGCTATTGCATCTACGTTTCAGTAAAAATTATTGTCTGGGGATATAAAATTTAAACATTTCCGGCGTTTTATTTCATTGTTAAAGTAAAGATTTGAGCAAAAGTTGCGCATTTTAAATGGACTTTTTATATTTTCGATTATTTAAATTTTCCTTTTGAAACGACGTTACTTAAATTTCTACGCTGTAATTTAGGAGGAAAGTCATCGAGTTAATTTCAGTTTTTTAAACAGTATTTTAAAACAAGAGACCCTTCCGAGCTTTCTTTTCAATTTTGGAGATAAACTCTTCTGGGTACCCCCGTCATCCTCGGTTCTCTCGAGGGTGACAGTATTCCCCCATTCCTTTGCACGCATGGGATTTAAAAAAATTACTTTGTGTGTAAAAAAAACCCACCGAAATTACCTTTACGTCAACAAATCGCAATTCGTTCGAAATGTTTCAAGAAAAAATTTACAGCCGTTTTTGAGAAAATAGCATTTGAGTGTTTCTAAAAATGAGTTCTGAGCTAGTTTTCATAGAAAACGGTAGGGTTTTCGAGAAACTTTGTATGACATTATTTAAAGCACATTACTCATAAATACAATAATGTGAACAAATTGTCAAAAAATATTAACAATATATGAGAAAGTCAAAAAAATTACATTTTTGTAATTAAAAAAAAAAGAAAAGAGCAATATGGCGTTTATGTCATCTTATAAGAGTACATTTTGCACTATCCCTACCATAAGTTAAAAGAAAAAAAAATTGGAACCGTTTTAGAGAAAAATTTTTCTTTATTTTTTTAAAATAGCACATATTGCTCGCAATATTGCGCAAAGACTTCTAAAAAAAAAATGTACATATCCTCATTGAAAAAACTTCCTTACTATCAAGACCAAATTTTATTTGAAGTAAAAATCTCTTATCTTTAATTTTGTAGTTGTAGGGAGACACTGAAAAAAAATCATACTTTTCGAAATGTTTGAGTTAACTGTGAAAATCTGATCTATGCCACATTTACAAGTGTATGTTAATCTATTCTTACAAAAAAATTAATGAAAAAATCGGAGTCTATTTTGAGAAAATTTTGAAAATGTTCGGAGGGCTTCATGTAAAGTACCCCCAAATTTTGAAGAACGTTTTTCAAAATCTCAAAGTTTCAACTCCAGTCAGATGAACAGGGGTTTCTTCAATTTGGAAAAACTCCTATGCTCCTATGCATGGTTTAGGCGCTAGTAGTGTTAACAGACCCCAGACAGACGTTCTGAACAAAAAAGAAAAGGGGGGAAAAAAAAGAAAGAAAGAAGAAAAAAAAGTTGGTATCTAGGGACCCCAATACATGTATGTCTGTAGAAATATCAGAGTTGTGCTCATAGGTTCCGCCATAGATCACAGCTTCAGAAGAAAGGTAGAGTTAAGACTCGTTTCTTCTTAACTCTCTGTTTCTTTGGGGTTCAACCATTACAAGGGAGCTCAAAGTATTTAGTGGTGTAGATTATACTCATGCTCACAGTGTTTTTCCCTTTAGAGTAATTTAATCAGTGGATAAAAATTATTCAATTCTATTTTGTGGCTCAAGACACTTAATCACAACGGTCATTAGGATCAACTATTGGACAATGACAACAAACAGACACGTTGTTACTCATTTGTCAGCATAAAATAACACTTTTCTTGAGACTAGATCCATTACATCGGACAAACCATACATCAAAAATAGAATTTGAATGAGTAATCATTTCGAACAGAATCAAATCACTTTTGGCACGTAAGTGAATTACTACCTACTTTAGTAGTTCTGCTTAAACAAAACTTATAAAAAGAAATTGAAGTGAAGGTACATAGAACATTGTAAATTATACCAAAAGAAAATGTGATGGAATATTTATTAAAATATGATTTACAAGCAATTACATAGTGCAACAATTCAGCTGTATATAGAGAATCAAAGCAAACTCTTTTTTTTCTCATCATGGACAAACTTGATTGGTCAGCCTAAATGTTTCAGTTCAGAACAACAATTCTATTTTTGAGAGAATGTTTCAAATTTTGGATTTCTTTTCACTTACTGGATAAAATAAATTCACAAAATTTTCTGCATTTATAAAAGCCTGAATTAAAAATGTTGGTATAGTAAGATTCAATAAAAGGAAAGTTTAATTATGTTAATATAAGCAGTAGTTTGATTACTGGTCTCTTGAGATATACTGGAATAACATCTTCAGACATACAATTTGCAAACCTCATGTTCAATATTTTTGTTTTTAACAATCTTAAAATCAATGATGAATTACTTAATCTTAATTCAATTACTGATAATAATCAAGAATCAAATTTTTGAAAAAATATAACCATTCAATTAGTAATTTACTGCATTTTTTATATATTTCTTTATTAGTACTAATATGCAAATGAAACGAAAGGTAAGCCAAAGTAAGAATTATTAAATTTGTTCAGGAAACCATCAATTCTAAATTTCTCTAATTTCTTAATATTCATGCTATTCAACGAAAATGTTCAAGCTCATGGATCATGCTGTCACCTTGTGATATAAAGGCTCATTCAATTTTGTAAGATAAAATCACTCCATAAACTACAGAAAATGAGCAATATTTTAAAAATGTAATTTCACCTCACTTGGACAATAGAAGAATTTAAAAAAATGTTTTTATTGGATTTCTATACTTTTGTTAATATGCTTTTCTACAACATTGTATTTTGTGAAGGGATGAACATATAAAAATTATCCTAAAAAAAGTCATAAAAAATTGTTCCTCATAAGGTAGCTATTTCCTACCTTTTGATACATAATTTGCAATATTTTTACGCAATAAAGGTTTGGATAAAAGTTTTGAAACGTATTCCACATAATCTCTGAGAACATGAACATTTTCTCAGCTTTATACTTGCAGAAAAGATTTAGGAGTAACAACCTAATTATTCTCCGAACTAAAGGAAATAAAATTAAATACCTGAATGCTTCAGAAATAATCAATTGTGAAATCAATAACTTTTATTGAATTTTCACTCTCCCTAAACATGAATGCCCACTAAAATGATTTCTTTAAATGAAATATCTTGTGAATTTTAATAAAGCAATTTCTATACATTTAAAAACAACAGAATGGCAAAAAGATAGTTTATTTATGTTTTTGATCCAGAATAAGTTCAGACGCCAATGAACTGACATTTTAAACAGACCACAAACTTGTAAACCTAGGTGAAAATGCTTATACATTTACTATTCTCAGTTCCTCAGAGTGTACCATAAAGGCAATAGTCTTTACATATTATTACAATCTTCAGAAAAGCTCACAAAGAAAATAATAAGCAGAATGTAAATTATGTTCTCACTATAAATATCTGTCGATGCAAATCGATAATAATTTTCACCAATTTTAGTTCTTATTGTATTCAAAATATTTGTGGGTAGTAAAAATTCAGGCATATTTTACATTTTTGACATGAACAATTTGTTCTTATTTTTCCAATTGCAAAGAAAAAGTAATGAAAAGCAGAACAATGAAGTTGTAATTATCCCAATATTCCTACAAAAAGAAAAAAAAAGGGAACTTACATTTTCTCCAATATCATTGAGAAAGGAGTTTTGAAAGTGTGTGGGAGCAAACTTCTATTTGAAATATGAGGGGCCCATGGATCTACTGCCCAACGCTTAATTTTCCCTGAATGATCCTGAATGTTCGAAGAATTTTTTTACCCATAATTACCAAAGACTGTGCATCTAAACATATTCCCTCTTTGCAAACAGTATTGCTTATATTGATTCTTCAACAGATTCTGTAAATCAGTTATGTTATTGCTGGAGAACATCATTTACACTTGCATAGAAATGTATTAAAACTAATGTCTACATTGTTGGCAGACAACCTAATATTATTTTTGCATTGTTTCATGTAATGATGAAAGCTTCATTTCATGTTTTTGCAGTTTGTTACAACTTACTGTAAGCAAATGTGATGGATATTGCTTGTAAAACAAATACATTAAGAAACATTGTTCCCACTTTTGTCATGGGATTAAACATTATTAATTAACATAAATGCAAAAAATGGTGGAACTACACCCAACAAACCATGAATCTTATAGAAATTTATATTTCTGTAATGAACTAGAAAGAATTACAATTTAAGTTCACATTTGGAGCAAATGTGAAAAATATCACCGAACACATTTCTGAAGTACAAATTCTTAACTGAAAACTGGGAATTAATGAAAGTATATCATTGTAATCAAAGTCATAGCACATCATCATCTTGCATACTAGCACTGAAAGGGCAAAAATAGTCCAACTTGGGAGCCTTTCATCAAAGGTTGGTATAGTGAGTTGCCCACCAAATACAATTATTATTACTTGCTTGTAAATTGAAAACAAAATATTCTTGTTAAATGACCACGAATTTCTCACTTTTAAGATATGATCTATTGTGACACATCCACTACTACAATTGTTCCTCAATAAATATTTTACAATGTGCACATGCATCACCTGGAAATTTCATGCTAGTATTCAAGATTTAAATAAATTCTATCAACCACAATAAAAGCCATGAGTCTCCACTTAATATCTTTGAGAAATAGCTGAAAATGAAAACTGTTTAAAGTAAATTTTTAACATAACATAATATCGAGACATTTATTTAAATATCAAATTTTATTGTATATTAAAAAGACAATATAAGATTTTTGTACATATTGGTTCATTTATAAGAACTTAACATTACAATAAAGCTAATTAAAAGCTATGAATTACTAAAACCAGAGGACATATTTTCAAATAATAATGGCAACTAAACATGAGATCGCAAACTTCATTTCACTGTATCTATTGAATATATTTGCAAGACCATGGATTTTACAGGGTATTGAATATTTCATCACAATGTAATTTTGTATTGCATCAACAGTAGAAGTTGAAATAAACTTACTTCAGAGGTACGGGAATAAAAGGAGAGAACAATATAGGTATCAAATAGATACAGTAGAATACATATAACTTTGACAAAGTAAATAGAATGTTGAATACTCATAACAAAAATATCATGTATTTTCTAATAGTTTGAACATTCTACCTCTTATTTCAAAAAGGTACACATTTATTTACAATGGGGAAACTTACTATAAGTGCACTACAAAATAATAATACATTACAAAATCAAATAAGTAGTATCTACAAAGTCTTTTGGTATGATTCTGGTAAATACAGGAGAATCAAAAGTAAAAAGGAACTATACAGTGGTACATGGTGATATTGCTTCCCAAATTTAATAACAGGCTACTCAAGGTGGTTTTAGGGTCATTTTCTGATTGAATACAGTACAAGTCAAAAGGAACGCTGCTTATATTATGAATTTTGAGAACTTTTTTCTTTTTAAGAAAGTAAAAGACATTCAGCAGTTGAATTGTGCTTTATTTACTTTCTGGGAAGAAAAATAATTGCTAGTAAATTGAATAAACCTGACTTGCCACACAATCACCTTCCTTAACATAGGACATACAGATCTTAACTCTCACGTTTTGACAATTAATATTTGTTTCCAAGTAATTCCTCATAATCATTTAAATAAAATGGCAATATCCTTGGAAGAATAGAATTGTTATAAATAGCAAAGGTATTTAGATATTACACGCAGGCAGAAGGTCCACGTAAAACATTTTCCATTACTAATTTGCAGAGGGTTGAAGTATACCTAAACATCATTTAATACAAGTATTTCAATAAATGCCATTATAATTGATTTTCTATCATTCTTTGTTCCCCAAATCCACCTTGGTCCTGAATTGGGTGTTCCATACTGAATTTCTATTTAAAATTAAAATCTGGAATATATAGCACCATGAAGTGCTCTTTGTTTTTCAGCAACTGAATGAAGAACACATTCAATATTTAACACAATCAAAGGCTTAAAAAATTTACATTTTTCAGTCAGGTAGGCTCCCTCTCTTGCCATAAGACACAACTGCTGACATTCTCCTTACACTGCCACTAACAATTGTCTGTTCTACACTGTACACACATATCCTCCAATTGCACTAGCTTGCTGTTATCCATCCACTGCTCACAAGATAATGAAGAATGTACTTCTCAGGACCTGCAGTGGGAGTAAGCACCACATCTTCTTTCTTTGGACCTTTGTTTACATAATCCTGTAGGGGAAAATGCAGTAATAAATCAGCAAATGAAGTCACGAAGTGCATAACTTTAATACCAACAGCTCAACTAATATTTATAAGATGAAATATCTTGTGCAGGAAAATAAATGTGTTCATACACTTACCCGCAATAACACCATCTTCAGAGTCATATATTGGGAAGGCTTCAGATTCAGAGATGAACATAACTGGAATGGATTGTAACAAGTGTAAGTTTATGAAATGGTAAACAAGTAATAATATAAAATTAAACTTCCCCCAAAACAAACCACTACTTCACTAACTACCCTCTGTATCAAGTATCATTGTGCTCGACATTCTTTGATAATGTGACGTAATCACCAGTGATATATCAGAACTTGCATAGAACAGTATTTTTTAAACTACTGTGGATGTTTTATGAGTTTGAATTTGAGCATAATAACTCTTATAGAATTAAAATCTCTGAAGAAAACTCAGGCAAATGTTCGTAAAAATTAAGTACACACTCTGAGAGAACTCCCATTAGACTCTGTATTTTAATCGTCGAAATCAAGAACATTTGAGATAGTTTAACAGACACTTTCACAGGTAACAACAGACTTAATTAACCAAAATGTAGGCAAACTGAATAAGAATGATGTACTGTAGAGTGATGTGTGAACCTCTGCAGATTGATAGATTATTTACCTTAATCTCGTGAGCTGAGAGCAAGTGATAACCTTGAAGGGTGGATATATCTGTTGGAGGATTTGGTTCTCCAGCAGCTTCCACCCCTTCTCCACTGCTATTGAGATTGGGTGCTTTGTTGCTTTTGAATGTGCACCTTGCGTCTGTGGAAGACAGGACGGCGTCGCTTCTTTCTCTGTAAAAACAATATTGAATGTAAAGACAATGAAAGTTGATTGAATTGAAACACACTATTATCAGTGCCTACTTCTTACATCTGCTAATGAGAGATACATACTTTTTTTTTTGGCCCATTGATGGGGAGGAGAGGATGGACCCACTGCTGCCCTAGGTAAAAGGCAAACTGATAAAATTGTAATACTTTAGTAAAGAAACATGGTAACACATCTTAAATATATCCACACCCTTCTACTATATCTAATAGCTGCAACTATTGCCACAACTTCAAAGAAAAAACGAAATGGCAATATTGAAAAATACGTTCCAATTAATGTAATGTCAAGTAATAGCTGGTGTGTAAGATAATGAATGGAAACTTATTTCTGAAGTAAGAGAAGGCAAATTATTGCAGCTCATAGGTATATTAATAGGATATGAATCATTGCACAATAAACAAAATTCTAAATTCAGAAGACTGCACCACATCCACAGGCTTTTAAAGGTCAGTGCTGTTCCATATAAACAGTTGCTTTTGCACAATTAGCATGGGAAATATGACATTTGACTGTGGGTAGCTGTGACAGCAAATGGACGAGCACAGCTCTTTTGGTATGTAACCACAAGTAGAAGTCAATGTTTAATTCTAAAACAATATTTTCCCCCAATCTTATACAGAATTTTTAATACAGTCGTACTAAAATTTCCTTTCAATTTCTATGTATGGCAGATTTCTGGCTTACCAAGTGTTCTTTGCATTAGAAAATAGTCTATTCTGAGACAGGGTTTTACCATACTACAAATATCTTTCTCAAAAACCTAACTTTTCTGTGAAAAGGAGCTCAAAATTCCCCACTCTCAGAATCAGTGTCAGAGCAGGGGAGGACAATATGTGACAACAGTCACATCCGACAGTAGGCACGGGCTCCAATTTGCAAAATTTGTTAACGAGGTGATACAGGCTGCGGGTCGACTTCATGGGAGGTCGATCGTATGATTCTTTGCAAAAGCGGCTAGCGAAGGAACAGTCGGCATTTGATGTACAAGATCTATCAAGGGAGAATCGTAAGCAGTGGCTTGCAAACTGTGGCCATTTCTCCACAGGACTAGAGGTCAGGGCCGACGCTAAAATTTAGCACCCTGGGGCTGTGTCAGACAGACGTGGCTTGCCTCAGGGACTTGCTGTGCTGTGGAGTACAGATGTAGTTTCCAAGGGAGTGTAATTATTGTATTAAAAACATGTAAATGACACATAACTCCGTATTTGTGTTTCACTCGCACCTCGACGAAATCCCACTAGAGTACCCATTGGTGGTGAACCTCAAAAATTGTAATAGAAAGGCTCAAAATACAGTAAATTATATCTTCGCTGGAATAGATCAGGACAAAAAACAATTCCATTTTACGCACATTTTTCCATTTTATGTCACCTGTGATATTGGTATATCCATTTTGAAACTAGTAAATTACATGACTTTATCATATTGATTCAAATAGATTGATATGGCTCTTTTTATTTCTAATTTTTAATCTTGAATATGCTTGATGCAGCCTTGGAAGGTAATTCCCTGCCTAGCATTAACACAACACCAGATTTGGGGTCTGTAGTGCCTTATAAATAGTACAAAACTTTTATTTTCCTTTTTCAATGTTCACCACAGAGTGATGGTCGAATAATAATAATAATAAATTTAAAAAAAAAAAGTGAAACTTTTTATATATAAATATAATATATAAAAAATAATAATTATTATTAAAAAAAAAAATTGGTTGGGGTTTTCGAGAAGTAAACAACATAATGAATATTGTTTTAACATGTAATATATGTAATATGCTTAAGATATTAAAGAGAATGAAAAATAGTAAATTCAACTAAAAACACAAAAACTTACAGATCTTCTCTCTCTCCATTCTTCATGATCCAGCAATTCTTGTTCAAAGTGAGCACACTCCTCATGCCTTGTTAATCCATTTCGGCGATATCTGATAAGTTCACTAATTCGAATTCTTAATTCTCTCGCTTTCTTTAAGTTTTGCAAAAATTGTTCATGTTCTTGAGCTGTATGAAACTGGCTCATAACCCGTAATCGATCATTAAATTCCCTAGAACAATTAAAAATGCACAATACTATTAGAATTTCTGACCACAGAAGCAGCTATACAGTAAAGCAATCCTTAAGTTGCATTACTTTTCTTCCTTTGATGAGAGTTTCTTCTTTGATCCTCTGTCTTTCCGTGTTTGTGCAAAGTACATGGAAACAAGCTGGAAATCTCTAACAACTCGCTTTCGCCTAGCTCTTTCTCGCAGTCGTCTGGTGTACATGTCAACATGTGCAAGCTTCAAAGCTGCAATCAATGTTCAAAATGCTTTATTCAGAAAATATCTCAATAAATAACCAAGTATTTTGATGAAATAGCTATCTACCAGAAACAGAATAAAAGAAACCTATGAAGACAACTTACCAACATCAAGGTCGTCATCTTCTAAATTATTGATAAATAATGGTGACAGTAAGGATTCAGCAGAGTTGTCATACTCCTAAAAAAAATAATAAACAGATAAAGCAAATGTTGACATCAAAGAACTAGTATAGAAATTGAAGCATTTTACTAACTCTCTCAAAATCATCACGTTGTGGCATATATCCCAAAGATGCTGCTTCCTCACGTGTTATATCCAAAGGAGGAAGCTGAGAAGTGACACGAGGAGATAGCGGTCCATTGTCACTAGGGGTGTCATCTTCAAGATTTGGACGAGATTGTGCAGCTGTAGGCCATGTTAGGCGACCTATGCTACCTTCCATGTAACGAGCAATGTACTCTTCTTTGGCTTCTGTAAATACAAAATGCTCTTTCAAAAACAGTTTTGAACAACATTTTGTCACATACTTCAGAAGTTTTGAATAAGTATTAATATTCAACAAAAAGGGTGTATAAATAATGTAATTGAGGAAAATATGGTGAACGTAGAAGGGCATACAATGAATTATTGTAATTTCTATTCCATAAATGAAATAATTGAGTAAAAAGTGTATCTCAGGAAAACACCCAAATTCTGTACATCCAAATCAAACTTATTATTTTCATCAATTGTAAAACGAAGAAGTATAACATCAATCATAAATAAATTAACCTTCTACATGAAAAGTTTCAAAAATTTCCTAAGATATTCAAATTAATAGAGAAAATGCTTCTACCATCCAAATATTTACATCAAAAATACATTAAAATATTTTGCAAAAACTTACCTTCACTTGGTCATTTCAAAGATTATCCAAAACAAAAATATATGACATGAATAATGTTTGCACATTTGATATTACAAAATAATTTGAATAAGTACTTCAATAAATTCTTGAAAGTAAAAGAAAACATGCATGAATTTAAACTCACCTTCTGGTGATCGTGTTTCAATGAACGCACTGATGTCTTCCCAATTGCCGAACCCATATTGTTCAATAGCATGAAGTAAATGTATTTCTTCATTTGCTGACCAACCTCCTTTTCCAAAGCATACTTCAATAGCTCTAGCATCCTGATCATATCAAAAAAGGACATTAGACTTATTAAAAACCTAAATGACCTTAATTATAATTTAAGTAGTTCACTCATTAATTTTACAAGAATTCCCAAGACTTTGTTGCCTCATCATTTAATTTTAGTAACAAAAATCCTCAAAAAACTGATGCGATGTCTTTTTTCAGCATGAGTTCAATTCATTTCACAAATTAATAAATCTAATACAAAAGTAGGGTCAACAAGTGCCATTCCATTTTACTGCAAAACAATAGCTTCTGTAATATCTTACCCTGAACTGATAGGCATGATCATTTTTGTTGAAATATCTTACCATGAACTGATAGGCATGATCATTTTTGTGTGGTCCAATTTCAGCTCCAGCAGAAAAACACTGAAAATGCGAACACAGAAACGATGAAAATGCGTCATTTATCTCTGCAAAAACGTAGAGACAACCTAATAACAATTCATAGTAGCACCGTCGGCTGTCAGTGTTATACTGGTGGAATTGTATAAAAATCAACTATCTCGCCAATTCCTCCCCTCCAACAATCCTACATCACATGACACCAACTCTACCTGTAGGCATAGGTCGAAATCAGTACATTCTGCACATTTGATCCTCAACCCACTTATATCTTCTTGGCAGTAAGTGCAGTGATACTTTTCGAAATCTAAAACCATAAAAGAGTTACATATATAAGTTTACAGAACCAATTAAACAAATAATAAGCCAAATCTAAGCTCCTGAACACATACCTTCCATTATGACGATAGTTGAATGACGTCACTTCCTGTGAGAAACTCCCAAATAATAGCACAAGAATGGCAACGGTGGGCGATAAAGTACAAAATTGTTTCAGTGTATTTCCTTTCTCATGAAAGTCAGACCTTTGAAGATCTTGAACATTTCACGATAATTCACCATTTCCTAAAACTATAACTGTCTTACTATCGATTTTAGAAACAAAGAAACCTCTTCAGCTTCAAATGCAGATTCAGTGCAGAGAGATGCGTTACTTCCATAGAACCTCATAGAATTGTAGAAGGCTAGATTCTGTGGTTAGTCATTACATATTTTCACAAATTAATTCTCTTCTGAAAATCAATGAAGAATATTTTTACTTAGATTGTAAAACCAGTTAGTTCTAATATTAGGATCAATTTTGACGACTTATTTGTTGGAAAGCGATAAACACTCACGATCTGAAGATTCGTAGTTTAAAGAATTTATTAATAAAATATTACATTTATGCAATAAATAATTATTTTTGGGACCAAATCATGGACAATAATAACTTTATTAATAAATTGTGGTCTAAACCATGTCAACCTATAGAAACCTCCCCTGAACAAACTTGCCGTGAACGCACCCTGAAGAAATCGCCTTTCAGGGCAGTAAAACCGTCAATTGTTTTGCCCGGTTTTGCCTTCAGCTGATTAGAGGCAAGAGGTGGTGCTGAGAGAAAATAGTGTATAGCGATTGAAATTTTTTGCTGTCGTTATGAGCATCGCTAGGGTAAAGTTATATTTTGTATTTATGTGTGACTAATATCGTTTTATTTTAAATTATATTTTAACATATGTTGAAAGATAAAAATGTATGTTGTTACGGAACCCATTCATTTTGATGGTTCATGTTTTAAGCCTTTGCTTTTTTACATGCAATATGTAAAAGAAATAAAAGCTACTCCAAATTATACAATGATCAGTATTTTTATAACTTATGGATCAATGTCCATTGCATATGTATTTAGTAAATACTATTAAATAACAGTAAATATAATAGTATTTTTAAATAGTATTTATTTTATAGTATTTACTAAATACATATTTATGTATTATTATTATTATATGTATTTATTTTTCTTCTGAGCGTGTACGATTATGCTATTATTTTTATTTGAATTGCTGTAGAAATCACTCCAGTTAGCCCAAGTTGGCGTCAGGCGTCTTGCTACGACGCCTGTTAAACCTGCAACATGTCCTGCTCCCCAAAATGTTCATCCAGGATACAAGAAAATTAGGACAACTATGGAAAAATTTCAGGCATGTATTGTTTAAATTCACTCTGGGTTAAATTCATCATAATTTCACAAGTTCATTCATAAATCTTGTTTTTTAGGTTGAGGACGGTGTTCCAATTCATTTGAAGGGAGGTGCTATGGACAAAATTTTGTATCAGGCTACTATTTTCTTGTGTGCTATTGGGCTTGGGATGTCAGGTCATTTATTTTATAAACTGACCTATCCATCTCAAGAATAATATGGATTGAATATTATTGTATCTTAGTCATGTGAGGTAATGTCTTTAATCTCTGTGGCCTTGCATTTACAGTGCATTTGAATTCGCAACTAAACATTCTATGATATGCATTTACTTGTTGGGCGCTAGTGTAATTGTGTAAATAAAAGAGACTTCTCCTGTAAACTGGATTTTTTTTCTTTTTTCCTGTCCCTAGTAGTATGTTTTACAGATGTCAAATGCACAGAGGCAATCATGGAACTATGTAGATCACTGTTCAAGTTTCCTGCATAACAATTAACTGCTTCATGAATTTATTGGAGACTGAATATTCTGGTGAGAACAAACTTGATGTTTCCGCAAAATATGCAACCTTAATTAAGCTAAGTGGTAAAGGAATTTGAAAAATGGTAATTTTGTTTAACAAATGTGTAATTAGCAATTTTTACATAATTGAATTTTTTAATTCGTTCCATTACTTTGTTTTTGTCTCTCTTACTATCCTCATAATCTGGCCATGTATTATATTCATTCACGTCAAGAAGAGGGATCACTGTGTTGGAAGCCTGCTATTTCGGCTGACCTGCACTGTTAGTGAGAGTGAAATAAATGTAAATGGCTTCTGGATTAAACTGTACCTTGGCATAGCCATTCCATTTGCAGGTGCTGTGGGGAGGGTGGGAATGTATCTGTATGTGTAATGCATTGATCAGATTAGAAGTTTTATGTAAATCATAGTGAGAGGAAGCTGGAGCATCATTGTTGACTTGGTTCTGTAAGAGATTTCTTTGCGATCATTTGGCTTTACTATGATAAAATTTTTCTGTTTGTAGAAATAAAGTGGTTTGGAGGTAACGTAACTGTAACGTCAGAAATACATCCAACCAGCAAGCAAAGTGTGAAAGCTAATGCAATGTTTTAGGCATCTCTAGGGCCAAATTGACTCATTAAAGTTGTACTCAGAAAATTTAGATACCTCAAAAGTTATCTTCAGAGGTCTCGTTCATACCCATACTCTTTGCATACCCCTGTGGTCAGATACAAATTCCTAAGGGATAGATTGCTTCTGAGACAGGAAGGAGAATATACATAATATATAATGCATGATTTATTTACATTTGCATGAAAAATAATTAGTAAAAACTGATTTTTTGAAGTACTTATGTATTTGAATTGAAGTAAACAGGAACATTTCTTTTTAATATTACTATAACTGCTGGATTTTTGTTTTCCATATTTGTGGGAAATTGTGGGGGGTATGTTAATAAAAGTCTGTTTCGTAAGAATGCCAACATCAGCCATTTATTTGGCTTGCTTCATGTTTATAAATATACAAAATGGTTAACACTATTAACCGTTACATAAGAATATTCATACAACAAAAACATTACAGTATTAAAATATAATTTGCTGCACTAAAAGAAATAAGAAAACAAATTAATTGTTACATTGGCATTGATAAAAATACTTTTATTCTTCTACCCTCACAATTCTCCACATATATTCACAATACGAGGTCAAGATCAGCATAATTTTTGTTTTTCATTCTTGATTTTTATGAATAATGTGCCTACACTTCAGAAGAAAGCTCAACACACAAAAAAAAAAAAAAAAAAACAGCTGTATGTACTACATCAAGATGTTCAGTCTTTAAGAAACAAGCTCAAAGATTTGGAAATATTACTTAAACAAGGCCTACAACACTAAACAATTTTATACTTTAGTGAAGATTGGTTAACTCGACAACTAGATAAAATGCAGATTCCAGTTTTCACCCTAGCTAGTGGCTCATGCAGGGAAATAGGCAAATCACATCATGCTTGTGGTGGCTCTTGCATCTTTGTTACAATGAATATTCATTGTGTGTCAATCACAGAATACTACTCTTTCTTAAAAGATAAAGACTTAGTAGAAATATCGATCACAGACATACCAAAGTGGAGTATGGATTTTATGTAAGTACCACAACACCACAGAAAACAAATGTTTTCTTAAAAAAATCTTGAAATAGTTCTTGTTAAACTTAAAGTATGCAGAAATTACTAAATTATATTATGCAGTGATTTCAATACAAAGTTTGTCAAAATCAAATGAAGAGAAACTATTAAAAAAATGACTAAATCTTTCAACGTACAAACTATTAAAAATCAACCTACCAGAATATCTAAAAAATGCAGTACTGCCATTGATCAAATAACAATAGATGCAAATGATTGCAGCTACATACACATTTACATACATACTGTGTGTACAACACAGGCTTTAGTGACCATAAAGTGCCATTCTCAAACTCAAAATAGACACAAAAGTTATTAAGGAAACACTTTATAGAGAAACCCGAAACTTCACTCAGGAAAACATAGACAAGTCATGTTATGTCATATATATCCTTAAGAAAAATTCTAACTTGGATACTCTGTAAACGGTCTACTTTGTAAATGTTCTCTCGCACCTAAAATACGGAATTATATTTTGGGTTAATTCCTCAGAAAGTATTCACATTTTCATAATCCACAAATGAATATTGAGAACAATGACACTCACAAACACAAGTCCTGCAAATCACTGTTCAAAAAATTAGAAATCCTACCACCTACACGCATGTACATATTTGAAATATTAATTTACACATAGAAGACACTTATGGGAAGCAAGGACTCTGTTACGCTAAACACAGAAGTTCATAACTGATACTAGACAAAAAAGAAATCTGCATGACCCACACAGTGAAACTTCACTCTTTCAAAAAAGTACCCGTGTAGAAGGCATCACACTATATAACAAACTCCCCAGTGAATTTAAAAGCATAAACTCGATACACACATTGAAAAGAAACTGGAAGCTTTCCTGTTAAACCGTACATTCTATGGTACAAAGTAGTAAGAGTATGCCCCGTAAACATGTATCTACATCAATATAAACTAGTGCTAATAATTTTTGGATATTCTGTTGCAATGGTTTGAAACCCTGAAACTCCCTAAAGTGGTTGTCGGATATAAAGGACTGACCCAGCCCAGACATGAATCTCCAATAAAGACAATTTTTTCCCCCTTTCTTTCTTCTTCTTCTTGTTGTTGTTCAATTTTCACCTTCATTCACTACCATTTATAAAATTAATTAGCATTCCATTATATTGTATTTAGTATGAGAATAGAATAGAATTTTAATTTGTGTATTGTTTTTAAAGTTTAGAAAGACATGTATTGTACATTGAATGATTATTTACATACCCTGACTTGTCATACATGGCATATGGTGTATTTATGTGACAAATATTATTATTATGATTATTGTTATTGTCATTATTATCATTTTTATTGTTATCATTGTCCTCGTCATTATCATCACTATTATTATTAAATATAAGCTATATTTATTAAAATAAATATTTGCTTTAAAAATATGAGTAAAGAGTTCATCCATTTAAAAGTATAGACCAAGTACAAAATTAGTTACGTCATTCTGGTAGAGGAAGCAACTTTCCACATAATATTTTTAGTTTCAGTAATGTGTATGTCATGGTAAATGTTTCTTTTCCAATTCAATGTAATTTGCTCATTTTCATAATATACATAACCACTTTTTTGTTTTTCCTGTCCAGCTCAAATTGTCAATGTGTATTCTTACTTGTATAAATAATATTACGAAACATTGATGGTAATATTTTGATGGAAATGTTTGTTGCTCGGTTCCTTGTTACTGGAAAAATATTTTATTTCCCAAACTTTTGTCCTTCTGTGAACAACCCTAGAGAGCAAACTGTTCAGTGGAGCAATATTTGCCAACCAATCTAGCTGATGGCACAGCCCATTGATTTTAATTTTTGGGGACACTTTACATGAAGCTCCATTGTCATCATCTATATTATTTCAATAGTATAGAAACATTTTACAGCTCTCACACACAACCTATCTTTACAAATGAGGTCTCTAAAGAAAGAGAATTTCACAGAAAAGTGACAAATGGTACTTTAATTTTAAAAATATAAAGAATTTGTTTACAAAAAGCATCAAATGGTCAGCATTTTAGAATCTTAAGCATTCTGTAGTCTTACAAATTGAATTTTTTTTCTGGTTCACCGCTTCTCAATAATACTCCACCTATTCAGGGACATGCAGAATCTGCCTCTGTAAGTGAAATTATACCAACTACTGAATATTCTATGAGATTGATTGAATGAGTGCACTTCTCTGTTTGGTTATACAGTTAAATAATATTGCAAAGAATACGGTTGTACTTTCCCGATCCTGTATTTTCACATGGACATTTTACACGTCTTACTCAAGAGAAAAACTTTTTCTAGTACTTTTGTGTCTATCAAGGAAAGCAAAAAGCTAACAGTCAAGGAAGATTGAATAATTACTTCAAATGTTTTGAAGGAAGTGTGAATTATTTCAAGAACATCTGCCTATAATACTGAATAAGCCTTTATTGAAAATTTGTTTCAAACATCAATTGCATTGTTTTTATTTTTGTTTGATATTCTGAAAGTACATTAGACGTTACATTTATACTCTTTTTAAACAAATAAACACTTTTCATTAACAACTTTTCCTGTAATGTGGAAACGGAAGGACAGAGAAAGGGTGGGTTTAACTCACAGGAATATATTTCCTATATTTCATAAATGTCTCCAATTTTGGGTGGAATAAATGATTTTACGCTAATGAAAATGCGTGTGGGTCTGTTTCAATTAATCTTCAAATTTTAGAAAATTGCTAAAGAAATATTTTTTGGACCCCCTCTTTTACAACAATATTATTGAAATTAGAGGTAATCTCTCGAGAGAGAGAGTGTGTGCATCCTTGTCTTAGTCCTACGCTTGTGAATATTGCTTTGGAGGTGCTTCCATCCATGTTTTGTATTTTAACTTTAGCTTCTAGTATAGGCTTTCTATTGCTTTTATATTGGGAGTGTCCATTCCATCTTTTAGTATATCCCACAGTTTCTTGCTATCCACCTTGTCATTTGATTTTTCATAATCAACAAATAATACGAATGTTGGTAGATTCTGTTCACTTCTTCTCTTAATCATTTGTTCCACCATTAAGTTTGCATCATTTGTGCTTCTTCCTCTCCTAAAACCACATTGTTCTCCATGATGCTTGTTTTCCATGTATTCTGTTAGTTTGTTTTTCAGAATACCTACATATATTTTGGGGCCTTTAGTTTGCATGGTAATTCCTTTATAGTTTTTGCATTTGTTTTTTGGCCCCTTCTTACGTATGTTTATCACTAATTTGGTTTGCTATTCTCTTGGGAATTTTAGTTCTGTCCATATTTCATTTATGGCTTCTAATAATTTCTTTTGAGTTTCTTTTCTTACACATTTCACCACTTCTATATTTACATTTACCAGAGCTTTCCCAATTCTTTGTGTCACTTTCTCTAGTTCTTCCATTTCAGTGTCTGGTGTGTTATTTCCTGTTTCTGTTTCCATATGTCTCTATGGGTACTCATCTTCATTCTCCCATAAGTTTTCATTACGTCTCATCCATGTTTCTTGTGGAATGATGTGTGTGTGTGTGTGTATGGTGTCTCATTTTCCATTTTTAGTGTTTTAAGTCATTTGAAGCCTAATCTTTGTGGACAGTTAAATAATTGTTTTCAAAGTGAACTGTTTTTATACAAACTTGCACTCCACCCCAGCTAGGACATGGTGGTAGTACCCACAAGCCACATCTTACATACAAACTTAACTGGTTGCCTGGGAGAAAACGAACAGCAGAGGACATTTCTTTGTATAAATGTCATGCACTTGTATAATTTGATGAATATGCAACTCAAACCCTTAACTTCATTGAGTTCTTTTCTTCCTTTTATTTATTGATTCAAAAATATTTCAAACACTTGCTGAGGCATAAAAATGTTTTTATGCGTCGTTATTCTTTATTATTATGAATTATTTTTCCTTTGTGTAATGCAAAACAAATGCATAAAAATTAATTCAAGGCAAGAGCCAATTACTTTACTCTAGGATGCCCAGCGAAGTCATTTTGACTCGAAGCCTTTAACAATTCTTATTAAAAGAAAATTTTGCAAAAATATTTATCTACATTACTAAAACATTAAAAATATCTTTTTAGTGTAGACAAGTAGTATTACATTTCAATTTAAATATATTTTAAATATTTCATGTCATTATTGTTCAGCGGAATGGAAGTTAAATATTTTCTATGGAATGTACAAGCAAATATACTTGTAACTTAATTTATTATAAACAAATAGATATGTGACTAATTTATGTTGGTTCCATACTGTTAGGAACATGGAATGTATTACATAAGAATTCTAAGACAATTTTAATCCCACGTTTTAAATGACGCTTACTTCTTGTGTGGAATTTCATTGTATTTATTTTCTACATTACTTTATTGTGCATGCAGTATGAAATTCTTACAGTTGAAAGATTCAAACTGTTAATGACTTGTGCTAACCACACAAGCACATTTTGTAGAATACTATCCAGACACTTCCTTTGTATCCTGATGCATGGTTGATGGCTACATATTCCAGGCGTTTCTTCTAGTTTTTCACAATACTTCCCCAATATCTCCATCGTGCAGCTTGCTTTCAGTTTTATGCCAATCTGCTGTATCAACTTTGTTCCCGACATATAATATGGATAGTTTGTAAATAAATCGCTTCATACAAAAGAAAAATATACTTTAACATGAAATTAGAGAAATTAGCCATTATTTCTTCACAAACCTTTATTATTATTTGAAAATTATTAAACAATACAGAAACTAAGTAAACAAATATATAGATATGACAACATAATAACCACCTGGAGTTAGAAATGCCCTCCTGTACTGAAAAATTCGGTTCCACATTTGAACTCTGATATTCATCTGAATGATTTAAAGATATCACAAAGCTGTTCTTCCATGTGATAATGATCTGCTTTTCGAAATGCAGTGAAGTATTTGCTGTAAAGTGATGAAGCATCTCATGATTCATGACTTCGCATGTATTGAACAACAAAACCAATGCTAATTGGAAGGAATGGTTGCGTATTTGTTCAGAAGGTAGATACTAAGAGACACGTTTAAACTTATTAAATGTTGGCATTTTTAAAACAAAACTACAAGATTGGATCAGTGTCCAAAGAGTCAAATTGATGTCTCATGGGCGTTCTAGGTAAATTCATTATTTTTCATGCAATATATTTTTTACAAGATTTCATTTTTAACATACTGTAAATAAGTAAAAATGATGAAAAGTCATGAAATCACAAAATCCTATCTTCAAAACCAAATAAGTTACAAGGACATGAAGAGCCCCAGGAGTCGAAATGATGCTTCTGGGCTTTCTAGTGTTCAGTAACACATTTTAACACACGACCTTTACAAAAACAACATTGCAGGTAATTTGCATACTTCTGTTTTCATGCACTTTTCACAATCATGGAATTCTGTGGTTCAAAAATCTTGGACTCATTTCACATCTTGTGTTGTTAGTTTTCTTTCTTGCAACTTTTCTCCACGTTCTCGATGCTAATATTGTGCTATTTTAGGTATCATCTCCCATGGCAATCCTTTTAGTACTGATTTCAGAATAGACTGAGAGCAAATATGAAGTTAACTTCTGTCTGCAATTCTTTTTTCTTGGTGATTCCTCGAAGTATCAATGTTTTATCCTCCTGGTGATTGGGCCAACTTTGAATAGGAACCATAGGAAATAGAGATGACTGCAAGGGCTCGACAAGCAATTCCCTGGTCATCTCTGCTTGCCAACAAAGATCTAACATAAGAGGGAATGTGAGAGCTTTGCAAACCCAGACACCCGCAAGGTTTTTGCTTTTAGGGGAATGGTATTGAAAATTACAATGACATACATTATTCTCTCAAACAAAACTACATGTAATAAGACAAATTTTCCAAAAGACCTCTAAGTTAAGGGTCTAGGATTAATTATTTCTGAGTAATGTTTCATGGTAATTAGAGTTTAATGCACACTGTATATTGTATGTATGCCCACCAATATCTTGTATCATAATTTACAAAATTCTAAATTTTTTATCTTAAATTTAAGTGACGATTTAAGGGAGATATTCCCTAACCAGCAGCAGCCAAATAACAGATTTTCTTGACGACAGTGTCTTATGAAAGGTCAGAACTGTCTTCTATGTAAATAGAAGGGATAATATTAAATTAAAAAATCAATAAATAAAACACATATAATCAGATTCAATGTATTTAATTTATAAAATTGTGTGAAAAGAACTGTAATAACATTTATCACAACCAAAAATGATCTTCCTAAATGGTCTTGTAATTATACAATAAAATATTTTTGAGGATTATTATATTCTTAAAAACATACTTTGCTCATTGAATTATCAAAAGTGCACCATTTCTTCCACATCTCATAAGTTATTCATTGCTATAAGATCAAAATAACTTAAATGTGCATCTTTAACACTTTCAATCACTTTTTCCACATGCAGGAGCAATTCTTTATTCAGTGTTTCAATATCTTTGTCAGCATCAATAATCTGAAAATAAATAACCAAACCAAATTATCAAAAATGATAAAGTATAAAATTTCAACAATTTCCTGAATGAAAAAAAAAAGACAAATAATTACTAAAGAAGAGTGGCTTAAGCCATGTTCTGTGAGGCTCACCCCATAACAATTGCAACGAATCCTAAATGTCAACAACAGAGAAAGATGAGCAATCTGATTAAACTCTCTGGGTTGCGCTCAACGGATATTACTGATCTTTCTTGTACATTTCCTTCAATTTTAAAAGCGCTAAACTGATTTAACACAAAAATACCCAATAAACAAGATAAAAAACAAATTTAAAAAACTCAATTTATCTCTAACATATTCACCTTCCTCACATGCTATTTGAAACAATATTTTAGTAAAGGCAGGAAACATGAAAGCTCCTCTAGATTGTTGAGAAGATCAATTTTCATTAATTAAAGATAGGGAATCACTGTGATAAGTGAACAAAGTAAAATAAATACCTTCCATGTGTCATCCTTCAGTCTTCGAAAATTTAATGCTACTTTCTTCAGAAATTCTGAATTTTCATACCTCTCATCTCCAAATCCAGATCTTTTTGATATAGCTGTCTCATTTAATGTCAAGAAAAGGACAAGATCTGGCTTTGGAAGTCCTATTTCTGGCTGATAGCACCAATGTATGCTCATTTCCTGAAATTCAAGTTTATATTACAAAATTTTATTCTTATATGCATCAAATATGAATGTTGGGTGGTGTTTGTGTACAGGTATAACATTACAAAAACTGATAATTTTATCTATGTAAAATATCAGGATTCAATACACAAAATTACATTTTATAATCAATTTCAGCATTAACTAAAACTGTAATACATCAATTTTATGTACCCAAGCAATGCTGTAGATGGTAATGGAACGGACCTCTTACTTGTAGAAATATATCAAAAAAGTTAACACAAGCACGAGATAAAGGATCAGTTATTTGTGCACTTACATTTTTGGCTGCAGAGAAAGCAACTCCTGAATGTGAATATCTGTCAACAATTAACGTCACTCCACTATTTAAAAGCTTCTTCATTTGAGGTCTGAAACAAAATATTTTTGTCATTTACGAACACCTAATTAATGTTCATACAAGTAACATGGACAGTTCTACATACTCTGATTCCCATCTGTTGGCTGAGAACAGAAGATGGACTGTTTTATCAGGTAAATCCATCTTTCTGGTTAAATATGAATTGATAATTTGGCCAGTTGATGTACTGCGATCTAATAAATAATAAAAGTGTTTTAACTGAAATATATACATTTAAATATATTACTTAAACTCTTAATTACATTCACTGATACATGTATTAATTTCATTAGAAATGAAAAATACCCGGAAATTTTAGTAGCTGTGAAGGTATGCCCCTATGCTGCAATTTTTCCAATAATTTGGATGCTTGAGTGGTTTTTCCAACTCTGTCACATCCTTCCAAAACGATGAGAGCTCCGCGACCAGGCATTATTACATTATGTTGTAATAAACAAATCGTTTTGTCATCAATACAGCTCCCCTTCTCTTACAAATAGTGTCACAACTCTGCAAGAAAGCTACTGGCACTTACACCTCTTAAACGAAATAACATAAATCGACAATCTCCCGCCATTCCATTGCGTGCATTGCGTAGCGCTGGCATTGCGTGGGAGGATTCGGCGGATTATGTACACGTGAGCAATTACATGGTTGCATCATCGACATGTGTACTGTATTGTCACAGTAATGTCAACTGATGTCAATGACCAGAGAGATATGGAATTAATCTGGTATTAATATATTGCATCTTTTTTACATAAACAATATGTTACATATATTTTTTTACTTCACTAGAATATAAAGTTTTTCACAGTATGTTGATAATGATTCTTTCATTCTGGCTGATCTTTCTTTGTACATTTACTTTTTCAGAATGAACTTTTTTTAACATTGTATTTAAATATCACAACCTACCATTATGAAATTTGGAAGAGTGGTCAGCCTGCTTGTTCCTTAGGAAGTCCAACTCTGGGCCCTATATTAGGAATGTTCTGTATTGTGTGCGGTACTTTTGAATGTGCCGATTGTTCAGACGGATTGAAGTATAATGTATAATGTGACGAGCTTAAGTTACGAACCTATCATTGTTACTTTCTAGATTTTTTCACACACACACACACACCAAAAAAAAAAACAACAACAACAGAAAGTGTAATGTTTCGAGTATAATGCTTGTCTTATCACAGTATAACTGGTATACTGTGATCTTATTTGCAATTTCGCATCTGTACAACCATCTTGTAGAGCGAAGCAGAGACGGGATTTCCACAAATTTATTTGCCATAAATATGCACGTTTATTCGAATGTTAAGCTAGAAGTGAATAAAATTTACCGCCGAATCTACGAATTTATTTATAATGGTATTTGTTAATTTACTATTTCATATTTTAACTTTTTCATAAGCGAAGTTAGAACAGATTTGAAGTTGGCAGCAAAAACGAAACGTTTTAACAGGCTTTCTGTTTTACTTTTTTCCGGGGCATCTATAACTCTAATTTATCTTTAAAGACATAATTATGAAGATATTAATTATTGATTTGTATGGTTGTAAGTCTTTATTTTAAAAGAAATTGAAAAAATTTAAAATGAACTCTTGTAGACACGGCGAAAAATAATTGTATGTATTCGTAACAATCAATAGTGTTTCATAAAGAAGCCTTTATACAAACTTTCATAAAGCCACAACAATGGAAACAGATAAGCAGTTCTATTTATGGCAAGAATAGCATTTTAGGAAGAATTGATAAGAAAATATGAACGTATTGTTGCTAACGCCCATTGTTGCATGCGCCTATTGTTGCCAGTGACTGTCGACTGAGATGTGGACAGGAATTGCAGTATAATAATTTTAAGAAGCCGTTACAAGGAGTGGGAAAGTATGTGGCGTTTTAGCTCAACTACTTTCACAGTGTCTCAATTTACCGGTCCTCTAATGGTAGAATTGAAATTACTTTATTCATATTACAGAAGAGAACAACCTGGTTCTTTATGTACATTTTCGGTGAAGAATTTGGTTCCAATTTTGAGAAGTCATTTGAGCTTTTCTGAAAATTCGCGATTTTGAGCTCATGTTTATAGAAAACTCGAGTTTTTCGAAAAACTTTATTGGAAATAATTTGGAGCACTTCTCACAAATGCAATAGTTTATAAAAACCTCCGTAATGTAAATATCAACGACATGAGATGTATTTAAAAAAATACATTCATGTAATTTATGAAAAATAAAGTAATAAAGCAAAAAGACGTTTAAATTATCTTTTATAGTGGGTTTTGCAATATCCCTACACAAAGTTTAATGAAACAAATTGCAGCTGTTTTTGCGAAAATTAGCCGCTTTCCATATACTACATATATGTGTATGTATACGAGACAGTAAAAAAGGAAAGCTGCTGCATGGACTTGTATTTTAAAATTCTGTATATGTGTGTATATATGATGCGCGGGGCGGCTCCTCCCGCCCCTCATCTCCAACTACCATGGGCCTAACAGTAATCTCAACATAATATTAGCTAACACTAGCTCTAAACTAGAGCTCTACTGGGTTCTAGAAATCCGAGAAATAATTTACTCCCCGCGACGCGAGTCGTTTCCTGCAGCTGATTTACTAGATTCTCATCAAGACGTAGAGTGAACGGGCTCTCCACCAGATCTCTTTTAAGAGTTTCTTTTGATCCATCCTCAGATTTGTTGCCATGGTAATATCCATCATTCTTACCTGTTTTTCTATTTCCACTAGCGTAGGAAGAAACCTCAACAAAGACTAAAACGGTTCATTCCAAAGTACCGCCCATTGGGCATTTTAGTTGGAGGACAAAATACAAATCCCTTTTATGGGGTCCGCTGTCTGTCTAGCTGCTAACACTCTCTGCTGTCTAGACGACAACAATACATCCAAATCTGTGAGGCAACCCAAACATGTATATTGAACTTGTAGGTGCTCGAAGAATTTTTATAACGTGTCTCGTCATCCTCCCTGGCTGGTCTGGCTGCCTTCTTGCCAGGCCTGTCCGGTCCGGCCGGCTTTTGCGTACAAATAAGGATATTTGTACTCGTTAATTAAAATATCAGCGGTAAATAGACTAGGAATTTTGTCATATGATTCTTTTGTAATTTTTTGGAGTCGTATAAAAATGAGCCAATTCATTCACATGTAGCTAAGCCCTCGTTAAAAATATTAAATTGTTGCGGTATGTGTATGTCACTTGTTATTAGTTTTGTTGTGATCACGTAGCCAGCCTCCAGAGCTGCACACTGCACAGGTCCCCAGCTGACCAGTTGTAAAGCAACGCGTGGTAAACGAGTGGGAGGGACGAAATTTTGTTGCATGTGCACAGTGGAAGTGCATCATTCGAATACACGAAGTGGAGCTAGACACAAAGAATTGGTGACATTATTTGTAATAAAACTTCGCGTCGATTTCGTGGTGATGGATTTAAATACTATGAGTAGACCATAAGATTTGGGGCTACATAAAGACTTTATGTAAAATGATGGCTATTATTTGTTCATTTCGAATAATAAAATTCTGATAGTGTGTTGAAACGTCCATATACGATGTACGTATGTTCGAGTTCGGTGGTGTTAAATTTTGTAGCAGATATAACCTAATACAATGAGTTGAAGTACAAAATCACAACATGCACTGTATGAATAATTCCTAATTTTATCACAAAAGTATTTTGAAATACATTTTCAAAAAACGCTCAGGAAGAGCTAACAGGATACTTCATAACCAAATTATTTCTTCCAAGTTGTGTGTGTAAAATTAATTTGATTAAAAGTTTTTGATTTGAAGTTTGTTATTAGGGCAATTGGTGCTTAATTGTAATGTCACTTGTTGCTTAATAAAATAAAGTGATATTTCAGAGAAAAAATCTAATAGACATTTTTGTAAAAAGGAAATTATTGCTTTGAGTTAAGATAATTGATTGCTAATTTTAAATAGCTTGATTGGAAGTTGTGATTGGTAAATAATTTTAGTGAAATATCTAGTAAAATTGCAAGTACAACCCACAATTTGTATTTTTTCTTCTGCTTTTACGTGCCATGTAATATATTGCATTGTAACTAAATCTGAATTTTAATGATTCATACAAAATCTTTTTCAGATGGATCAAATACTGTTTCTTGTGGCTTTAGTACATATTCTGTATTGCCCATACACAAAAGTTGAAGAAAGTTTTAATTTACAAGCTACACATGATATTTTATTCCATGGATTTAATATAACTGAGGTAACTCATGGCAATTAATGTAAGTATTCTATTGAATGATATTTATAGTTGATTTACATTATATTTCATTCATTTCAGTATGATCATCATGAGTTTCCTGGTGTTGTTCCTCGAACATTTTTGGGACCCCTATTCATCTCTGTTTTATCATCTCCTGTAGTATTAATCATTCATACTCTGGGGTTGAGTAAATTTCTTGCTCAGTATGTAGGTAAGACTGAATTTGTGAGATTTCAGAATATTACTCTGTAGTTTTAGAACACTTAAAGAAAGTGGCTGTGCATGACATTTATCACAAATAAATTATAATTATAATTCTTCTTATTTCAATGCTGCTTTGGGTCATGGTTTTGCACGCATTTCTGTTATTTTAGTGAGAGCTGCTCTTGGCCTTTGTGTGTTGGGAGCATTTAGAGTATTGAGGAAAACATTGCAAGAAGAATTTGGTGCTCCTTTCTCCTTCTGGTTTGTTGCCATTACTGTGACCCAGTATCATTTTATGTACTACCTGAGTCGTCCTCTTCCAAATATTATGGTGCTTCCTTTAGGTGAGTTTATTGCCTTGGTACTGATGATGGCATGCCTGATCCACATCATAACTCAAAACTTTAAGTTTAAAAGTTTTAAATGTGGTTGAGCAATAATAAGTAAACAATAATTTTATAGTTAACAATCTGTTAATTTCAATTTCTAGAAAATGTTTTGTCCTGAAATATTTCCTGTACAATTAATTATTTGTTTTCTATGTTGAATAACCCTTTATTAATGCGTATGAATCAATCCTACCTACAATTATTGAAAATATAATGGGTCATCCTTCATTAATTGTACAGATCTAAACTTCACGTTTCCTAAGTAATATCTTACACATTTCGTTGTATTTTTACAGCTTTACTTGCTCTTCATTTTTGGATAAAGCAGTGGCATTCTTATTTTATATACTTCTCTGCTGCAGCAATAATAATCTTTCGAGCTGAACTAGCCCTCTTCTTAGGGCTTTTGCTTCTCTCTGATCTTCTTTTTAGGAAAGTCAGTGTTATGAGGTAAAAGTGTTAAAAGTTATATTATTAAACTTGAAGTTCTGTATGTGGGTCTGATAAATTATTACATAAAAATTGATTCTCTTATTTTCCAGTGTTCTAAAATCAGCTGTACCTGCTGGGTTAATATTTCTCACTCTAACTATTGTGGTTGACTCCTTATTTTGGCAAAGACTTGTGTGGCCTGAAGGAGAAGTTTTATTTTTCAATACTGTATTAAATCGAAGTCATGAATGGGGTGTATCCTTTGCAACATATTAAAGTGTGAAGAAGAATACCAATTTGCTGATCGTATTATGAATTCGTTTCAAAATATTTCTAACTACAATATCTCACTTGAACACTTAATACAGTGTCTTACTAAAATCTTTCCCTTCTTTTCCTAGGGTTTTCCTAAACAAATGAATTGTAAGTTAAGATCTGTAACAATAATGTGTTGTTTAGGTAATTTTTCACTGATAGCATTTTTATCAAACCTTCAAAAAATGCTTGTCATTATAGCAATTGATGTGAGTAATTTTAGTAGGAGAAGATTGGAATAGTCATTGGATTTTGATTTATTATTCTATGGTCCAACCTTTCAAATTAGGGTTTGAGTTATTGTGGAGAAGACGATGAAGATGTAGGAACTTAAAAAGGGGAAGCAGAATTTTGATGAATAAGACAAGGAACATACAATGTAACATTCGTCAAGTGAACAGGGAGTGAATGGTTCTGTCTGCGTGATGGATAATTTAAATTCATCTAGTGAATAGTCAAATCATCTGAATGTGTTCAGGTTGGTCATTTTCTTGATCAAGTTTTCATCCACAATTGGAATAAAGAAGCTCTTTTCATTATTCATTTCTGGCTCTTCCCATGTTTTTACCGTATGTCATTGCCTCATCAGTTGCCCAAGCCTTGACACCCTGATGATTACTGATAATTGATTAAATAAAAAGGGATTAGGTTGTAAGGAAGTAGAAGTAAGTGAAACATTTGAGAAAATATGTTCTATGTAGAATAATGAATTGAGAGAAAAAATGGAATAAAGCCTTAAAAATATTGCCAATGGAAATGTCCTATAATTTCATTTATTACATAAGTTGCATTTTTATGAACATGCTTTTGTGGGAATTGAATTCTAAAGTTCAATTTTTACCTTAACGTTTTCTCAGACTTCTCCGTTTCTGTGGTACTTTTATTCCGCTATTCCTAGAGCAATGGCTTGGTCAGTTTTGTTGTTACCCTTTGGTGCATATTACGAGCCACGGGTGCTAAGAATGTTGATACCTGTTGTAATATTTGTCTTCCTGTTTTCTTTTTTGCCTCATAAAGAGTTACGCTTTATTATATATATATTTCCTGTACTGAATGTCGTTGCTGCAAGTGCCTGTAATAAAATGTGAGTTTATTTTAAATGTTTATTAAAATAATTATGTTTCATAATGGTTCATGTTATAGGATTCACAATAGTTTTGTTAAAAACAATAATTGTTAATTAATATATTTATTAATTTACTAGACACTTCACTATTATTTACTAGTTTCAATTTTATTTATGCTAATAATGTTTAAGCAAATAATTTTCTGTTTTAGATGGCAGTACAGAGGAAAGTCTGTTTTTCACTCCTTCCTTGCTGTAGGGGTCTTTGCTCATCTTGTATTGAATATAGTCTTTACTTTATTTCTATTATGTATTGCGGGAACAAATTATCCTGGTGGTGTAGCCATTGCTCGACTTCATAGACTGGCTAATGAAGAGAAATCTGTCAATGTTCATATTGATGTACTGTCAGCCCAAACTGGAATTTCAAGATTTACTCAGATAAATTCACATTGGAGGTAAGTGACCAAATTTTGATAACTATGAAGAACTCAACAAAGATAAATTGTTGGTTTTTCTCTCTTACGGTGGCCCCCATTAAGGAGTCTTTTCACTACTGTGAGAACATGGGGGGAATATCAATGCAAACCTGTAAAGAAATTGATATTTGTACCTTTAATATTTTGAGTCCCCAATTGATGCTTTGTTATGTGTGTCCAAATTGATGCCAAGGCTCTGACCTTTTGATTCTGTGTGCCATAAAACAACTTTGAATCTACACAAATTACAAGGCATTTCACACCAAAATACTGTCTTGACTTGTTTGTTGGGAAGAAAGGAAAAAACAATAGAAAGATTTACAGAATTGACTCACAATAGAATTGATAACTGACTTTCAATGGGGTTGTGAAATAGAGATACATATTGAGAAATTCCTCATAAAATATTTTGAAATGATTCTTTATGTCTCTTTATTCTTATGTATTTTCACAATCTTTATGCAACGTTTTAGTCTTCAAAAAATTATAAATACCTCTCTTCACTGAAACAAACATCTCACAAATGAACAAAATTAAGAGGCTGTGTTCATGAAATTAAATATAAATATGTATGTGGGTGAAATTTGAATTTCAACCACACACATTCAGTTTACGAAACAAGATACCCTTCATTCTTGATATTTATGCAAGTTCTCTTCTGTTGTTCATTGCTTTTGTTTTCTGCTCTTGTGACATTAGGAGAAAAGATTGTGCAGAAGGGTAGGTTAAGTGATAGCAAGCAACCAAATTTATTTACATTGTACTTCGCCTTATAACTGTATTGTGGACGTGTGCATTAGTTCAGTTTCTCTTTCTTGTAGTTTAAATAATCAAGTGGGTACTGTGCATGCAATATCATAGAATGTGTACTGTAGATTGGGGTTAACTGAATTCACTAAGATATTTCGTTTGCTAACAGATAATATTTTGTTTGAATTAGTGCATCAAGTAGTTGTCTATTAGAGATATTTGGTGAAATGTTACACATTTTCAATTGTTTATTCTTCATGTAAGCTCTCAGTTGTTTGAAAGATATAACATGCAAAGCATATTTGCTGACAAAACAAAATACAATGTGAATTGAGTATTTTAATTCAATTAATTAATCTAATCGTAAATAAAATTGAAAAATTGATGCTGGTCCCATTGTTAGTAATCTCTTTCTAGTTTTGAAAATTGCAAAAAATTAACATTCAATAAGAAGATACAGTATAGAAGATATAAGTTTTGCCTTAAATGAAATCTGCTCTAAAACTTTTGTGAAAAAAGCAAGTAGTTTTTGTGTAATTTCTGCATCTTTCTCTCGTTCTCTCCATCTATCTTTCTCTTTCTCTCTCTCTCTCTTTGACACGTTTTTGACATTATCTTTATGATCTTTTTTTTTAGAAGGGTGTATGTCTTAAAATGTGTTGTGCATTATTCATTATATTTTATTTCTAACCAGTGTTATTACTTGTTTTGCAGGTATAATAAAACAGAAAACTTGTTGCCAGGTGGACCAGAAATGCTGAAGTTTTCTTATTTGTTAATTGAAGCTAAAAGCAAATATTCTCCTAATTTAAAACCTTATTTGAAAACACATGATTTATTGGAGTCGGTGGAAGGTTTTTCCCAAGTTGCTCTAAATTATCATTCCTTTCCACCTTTGAGGATAAAAACAAAACCTTTAATTTTTATTCTTAAAAGAAAAGATTATATTCCATCATATGATGATGTCAGTGAAGAGATTCTAGAGGAGATAGAAGCACCTTCATTAGCAGAAATTGAAGATCTAGCTCCAGCTGAACCTGAACTGAAAGTGGAATTGGATACCATGGAACTGACTGAACCCTTCTTTGATGTTAGTACATTGGATAAATATGAAGATAAAATTAAAGAAACTTTTGTGTCATTAAGCGTTGAAAAGAAGGTAATTACTGTAGAAGAAATTCCCAAGCCATTGAATGAAGAGAGTAGGGATTCATGCATGCTTGAGAGCTGCATGACACCTCTCGACAAAAAGGAAGAGAAAAAATCAGCTGATGAAAAAATTCATATTCTTGATTCTAAGGATAAAGAATTGCTTGAAGATGAGCATTATTCAGAATCAAAATCTGAGGGAATAGAGGATGAGAAAACTCATTGGACTGAAAGTGAAGAACTTCAAGTGGAAATTGAAACAGAAACTGAAACTGAAATTCAACTGGAAATTGGGGAACCTAATGAAAGTGAAATATTTAAATATAAAGAAGAAGCTCAGATAGTTGATTCCAAGGTTATTTCATCAGTTGATGAAGCACAGTCTTCAATTTTCAGTAGGGATGCCGGCAATGTTGAGCACTGTGTAATTGGGTCAGAGCAGTGTGCAGAGCAAACACCATCTGTTGTTGAGAATTTAGTTCATAATGCAAATGAAGAGCAAGTTGTTCAAGAGAAAAGTAAGAAATCCAAGGGCAAGAAATTAAAAAAGAAAAAAATTATTAAAGAACTTGTAAGTGAAAGGGAATCTGTTGAAGATGAAATTCAAAAAGCGGAAATGGAAAATGTCAAAGAATTTGAAAATAAAAAGGAGTTGGAAGAAAATGTTACACCAGTTGAAGATAAAAAGGAGTTGGAAGAAAATGTTACACCAGTTGAAGATAAGTCAAAACTGAACTTGCAGCTTTTGAATGAAGAACCTTTACAAGTTTCAGAAATTATTCAAAGTATCATTGTAGAACCACCATCTGGAATTGAAATTTCAAAAGAAATGCCCAAAAAAGAATCTAAAAAGAAGAAAAGGAGTCAGAAGTATTTGAAAGCACAAAGTAGAGACCTCAAAAGAGAACAATCTTTTGATACGGAGACAGCAGAAACAATTGTTAGCACTGATGAAGGCACTGCAACAGAGGAATCTACAGATTTTAAGAACAAGGAATCAGATTCTAGTGTGTTAGATGTAAATAAAGATAGCCTTGGTGATTCCTTTCCTCAAACTCTTGAAATGGATAATTCTCATAATATGGAAGATGATAAAAATTTGAAGTTGGAAATTATCAGTGAAAATAAGGATGTTAAAGAGCAAATAGTTGCCAAAGAAAAAACTCTTAAGAAAACAAAGACCAAAAAGAAAAAAGGGAAATCAGAAATTGAGAAACCTGACATTGAGCTACCAGTTGAAGTGCGTAATAATTATATGGAGAAAAAGTCTGATTATGACAAAACTGAAGAATTGGTTGTATCTGGCAAGGATCCCAATAATACCCAGTGATGCAATGGACTTCCTACTTGCATTATTCTATTAGGAATATGTTTGAATGTACTATACTTGTAACTTCCCTCCATTTCCAGTCCTCTCTCAAAAAATTGGCAAATGATGGTGCTCTTGTACATACTTTTACATTTGTTCTTTAAAGTATGTCAGAAATTTGTCATAATGATGTGATTCCTGAGGGTATGAGGAAGGAACATGTCAGATTCTGTTCACACATTACCTTTGTAACAATGTGAAGTGCATAAAATAGAAAATTTTATAAATATTTATTTTTATTTAAATGAAGATGTGAGGAGAAAAGTGTATAATTTTCAATCCATGTAATATAAAAAATAACAAAAACCTTCCATTGTTCAATTAATATGTTTTACTTATTAATTAATCAATCACATTTCATGAGATGTTGCTCAATGAAACTTCCTAATTGAATTATGTCAACATTTTGTGACATTTATTGTTTCCGCCTTAAGTCTGTAGGTTTTAAAAACGTTACCATAGAGTAATGATATTCCTCCTTAGTCTATGACATTACTATTACTGAAATTACTACTATGATATGTTACTTGTGTTCATTTTCATGCCTGAGTGACAGATGTGAGAAATACTTATTTGTAAATTCTTGTCACATGTTACCTATTATGCGAGTTATTGACTTTTTCTCCACACCTGTGGAACATGTAAGCTGTAAAAAACTTCAAATTATTCATTGTTTTACAAGAATTGGTGAATATAATGAAGCAATTTTTATTTTATTGATCTCTTTTCACCAGCACATTTGGAACATGTATTGGAATATTTTCATCCATAATTTATTGTTTAATATTGTATTGATAGCTCTTGATGTCATTGTTTTTTATATTTTGGGGTGGGTGCTAATTAAAGTGATAGGTCTTTAAGAATTTAATTTAATGTAATTTTGCTATATAAGGGTACCGTCAACTATTTATTCTCTATTTTTATTGTAAATTCTGTGCGAATCTATCTGCATCATTATTTATTAATATAAGTAAAGGAGTTGCAGAATATACTATTTGAGTAGTTAAGTTCAAAGCTTTTAAATATAATCCAAGAACATTGTTTGTTTTAAAACTAAGCATTACAGCTTTTTAAAATATGTCTCTCATTTGGAAGTGTCGGCAAAGAGCTACTCTATATTTGACACTAATACATGTTACAGTATTACACTGTGAAAAGCTTCTTTGTTCAAAAGTAAAACTAGAAACACAATTTTTTGTGATCAGTGCTGCATTGAACTTGTAAAAATAAAATTGAGGTAGTCTTTTGTAAGAAAGTAATGGTCCTGGTTACAACCAGGTGGACACAATGTGTGTTAGATAAGGAGTTGATTTATGATTATTTAATTCAAAAGACTATCAGGGATGCTCATCACACCCATTGTAATATGTTTCAACTTCAGAAAGAAAGATATCCATTTTTCCAGTTCTGTACCGTAACTCGTATTGTCCCTTGTAAATTCCATTACCAAATGTCCACTGTCAAGTTTGAAATGATGTTTTGAGGTGTGTTCTTAGACCTGTCAAATATCTCAGAATGTATTGGTATGAATTGTTTCACTCGTACAATCTTTTGATACTCCAACAACGGTACTCATAAGAGAGCCATTGATTTTGCAGTTTCCACTTGTGACTGTCCTTTCTCCATAGATTTTTGTTCTTTGTCATTATTTCTTATTGAATATTAATTTATAAAATATATTAAGATTTAAGGTACTATCCTACCTATGGACTGTGATATTTTTTAACCTGTAGTTCATGATTTTGCATTTTTAATTTATTTTTAATGTTCTTTGAATTGTTAAAAGAATTGACTACCTTGGCTGGGAATCAAACTCAGATCTCTTGGTATACTTCCTGTTCCTCCACCACTTGTGCTACCAAGTCAGCAATTTTTTGAACAGCCTTTAGGAGTACTGTAGCCATGTTTCACCACCTTGTCACAATTGTTAGCGTGAACCATTACACGGGCATATGTTTCCTGTATCACAATTGCCAAACATTAATATATACCCTTAGGTACATGGCAAGATACTTATTTTCAGTGTTTTACATAAAAAATAATGTAATTAAGAGTAATTGAAACTGATGAGAGCTCTTGGTACAGCAACAAGAATTATTTTGCTAAATAATTATGGGTTCACAAGAATGGTTGGCAATTGTAATATGGAAAACATATTCCTACATAATTATTAAACTAATACAACTGTGACAAGGTGAATATTTTTAATTTAATGCTTAGTGGAACTTTTCATATTTTAAGTTAAAAACACATTAATTAAATGTATTTGAAGAAGCTGTTGAGAACTCTAGATACTGCATCAAATTAATTTTCATTACTGAGGTTTGTAATATGCTCATGGTGATTTTACAAGTTGTGTAGAAAATATGTTTAAAGCTGCAATGTCTTAATTTTTCATTGATATTTAGAATTATTTTGAATGTGAATTTATAATGTGTGTGTGGAACTGGCATTATTTGTGTTGTAAATGAATTTCTACTTTCGTGACAATCAGGTCATACAATCAAGTCTCCATTTTAAAGTTTGCAATTACCTCAGGCATCACATATAGTCATTATGACTTCTAAAAAATTAGTGTAAATGTGTTTCTCATAGAAACACAAGATTTAGTAGTGTGTAATATGTACTGATGAAATATATACATTGTTTTGTATAAATTAAGATATTTTTAATTGTATATTAAATGAGTGGTTTGTTAAAAGAAATATTTGCATTTTCATATTGGTGTGAAAAATAAGATATTACATACCCAACATTTTCAGTGCATTCAACCAAAGAGGATTCACTATTCTCTATAGATGTATTATAGTAAAAGTATTTTTATTCATTATGCAGTGTTGCGAAATATATCTCTTAAATAACATCGTAAAGCATTTTTTTTATTTCTCAAATGTGTAATTTTAAATTGAGGACTGCATTTACACAGATTTGTATTCAATTGTAGTTGAAATATTTTCAACTTTTGAATGAAAAATTAATTAATTAATTAATTCATTGACGGTCTACTAGGTGGACTGATAGTTGTTGTTATAGTAAGTTGGGCAAATTGGTTGATAACATGTTGGGATTCACCTACCAAAATCATTATGGCAGTTATTTAGGTGATACTTTGCTAGCTCTGCAAATTGTTTTAAATGATTTTTATGATAAGGCTGCAATCACCTGTACCAGCATCTAATGGACATCCTTCTGCCTTTCGCCCTCTAATTATTGCTTTTTAAGAAGTAAATGATTAGCAAGAAGAAATGAAATGGAAAAAGTGGGGAATTGTCTGAAATAAAAATTTTCCAGGGTTTTTGTATTTGAGTAACAATAATGTGTTTATTTTATTACACAAAATGTATCACATGATGGTTGTGGCATAATATCAATTTTTTTATGAATGCAAAAAGGTCATAATGTTGTAGAGTTGTGATCAAAGAAGTGTCTAAATCTTGTCTAATATACATCACAGACACAGGTGCTCAAGAGAACATTAATAATATTTGAAAATTATTTTAACCAAAATTGTTAATATTTTGATATGGTAGTGATGATATGTAATGGTTTGGTAGTTAATTTTTTGTATGTTTCAATTGTAATTTTTATCATGTAATTATGTGTTTGTAATGATCACAGGTGATGCTGTTAGTATATGTAAGAGTAAATAGCATATTTTTTGCTTCAATATTCAACATTGGTAATGTTGTACTTTCTCGCAAAATATCTCAGCTGCTCCAAGCCAAAACTAACAATTTTTTAAAAACTTATCTTTAGACACTATTGCATGTACTGTTGGCTATTGCATAAAGATCTGCCGAGATACCAGACTTATTTGTGAATATCCTCACTATGTTCAATGATTTTTGTAGCTTAAAATTCAATACTTACACATTTAAGGACAAAGAAAAATATTAGAACTTCCTTTTCTCATAATAATTAGTTTTTCACTGTGTTTTGACCTGGGATAGCCAAGCAGTTTCGAAGAAATGTATTAAAGGCATGGGACAGCCTAGCAGTTTCCAATGTATTAAAATTAATACTGTTCTTGAATTATTTTTATTGACTTTAATTTCATGCTATTTGTTGCAAATTGTCTTAAAACATTTGTTTAGATAATTTATCTACCTCTCAGGTCAGGAGTGTTTATTCTCCAAAAATTGTTTTGGTGGTACTTACAGGGGCAACAGACGACTAGTCGACTTCCATTTAGAGAAAAGGGAACAATAAAGTATATTTTTATTTTCAAAGTTAAAATAATATTTCACTATAATTTTTTAAATTAATTCTTTTTTTGCCAGTTTTATAAGAGCTATGAAAAGATTATCTACACAGAGACTTTTGAAATTTTTCTTGCACACTTGTTACGTTAATCACTGATTGGAAATTACAAATTTCTGAATTCAAGTCAAGTTATTCATGTGATAAAGTTATATTTTGCTACGTAGTTTCTGTACATATGCCATTTTATAATGTGAATTGTACTTTCTTATCAAACCAGCACATCTCCTTGAGTTCATCCCTGTGCCTTTGCCAATTTGTCTACTGTGTTTACGATTCATGCTTCGTTTCCTGCTGTAATATTTATTCTGCATATAGATGACAGTGTGTTAGCTTTTATGATATTTGCCAGAAAGGATGTTTTTGTAATTGTTCTGTAACTTTGTTTTTTCTTTTCTGCAATATTGGCAAGTTTGAATTTTAATGTGTGCCTTTTTTAATGATTTTTTCCATTGTAGTGTTATATCAAAGGTAGTTATTTGAATGTTATACACGATCAGATATTCTAAAGTGTCAAAATTATTTGTATCAGTTGATATGTTATTTTTGAATATATATATGTATCATTCACTTCCTGTATCATACAGGTTATATTGAAAGTACAAAATATTGATTCTAGTCGAGAAAGAATCTAGTTAGATCTTAACTCAGTAAAGTATTTGTACATTTTTCTGTTATTGTGGAAGTGTGATGGTGAAATACATGGAAATATTTTGAACATTGTGAACATGAATTTTGTTAGAAATTACTAATTTTTTAACCTGTCGTTTAGGTTGTAACTTTGCATCTACAGTACCTGTTCTCTACTCTCATCGTACTGAATGTTTGTGATATTTCAAATGTCAATTACTTCACAGGTCTGTATATGTAAAGTGGCATTCTAAATTATGTGCTCCAGCTTTATCATTTCCTTTATTTGTATTACTGAAAGGTTGAACAAAAATGCATTTTTGCATTAAATGAATTCATGCAGTAATGAAAATGTTTGTTACAAACATCTTAAGAAAAAGAGTATTATAGTTAGCAAACTGAGAAACTATTGACGAAATTACAGAATACATTTCCATGCTAATCGCCTTTTGCCCTTTTAATGGAAAGGGTTCCATAATAAAAACATAAATTTCTTCCTCATACATTTTGAATTATGTCAGAGCACATTTATGCGAGTTGCTACTTTGTTAGCAATGCAGAAAAATCATGCTTGCAATTCGTGTACCGATGCAAATAAGTTTTCTATAACTCAGAAACGAAAATGACTATTTTTCAAATATTGCTAATCTTGCGATTTTTAAATTTTATTTTTATTTATTTGTTTAACTTTTACACATCTTTCAACTATTTATAGTTAAAATGACTCGAAGGGATTCTGGAACTCATGAAAACGTGCGCAGATAATCTTTTCCCGTTACGTCACATACTGTTTTTACAGTTTTTGTGACTGAATAAATCTAAATCTACATCTAAACTGTGGTCTTTAAAACTCATAAAAATGTGATCTTGTTTTTTTTGTCCCATCGCACCTAAAATATTTAGCCTGTTTCGAAGCTGAAACTTTTCTAATTTTCTTGGATCATATTCCTTCTCTCGGCTAATCTAAAAAAATGTTTGATCTCGATGATAGACGTTTCTGGGTGCGTCAACAGCTATGGTCATTAGTCCCGACACTTGTGCAAGTTATATCACGGGACGTGGCGATGTTCCTTTCTCCCCAATGGATCGAATAGGTCGGTTTGCGGCATTTCCCTCTCCAGGTTTCTCCCCCAGTTGGGACAAGCTGTAAGTGGCCGACTGGCTTACCGCGATGTGTGGTAGGGTAGTGAATGTAAGATCGTGTAAGGCAGGCATGGCACAATCAGGCCACGCCAGTCCCATTGACATTTTGCACTTTAGAGCCAGCCATCTGCCCGTGAGAACGCCGAAAATATTATTAATATTTCGTGGAATGTCAGTTTCATTTAGGAAAACCGCTCTAATTATTTCAGTAAATACAATAATTCCCAATATTTATATTTATTTAAAAACTTGAGCCTCTGAATACCCAAAACATCAATCCTCAAACTATAAATATATTTAGATAAGCAAATATATAAGATTTTTGTTACAGCTCTCAATGAACTGATTCAATATCTTCCTAAATTGAGATTTAGATCGTTGACTTCTGTAAATATTCTGGCAACTGGTGCGACCAGCAGGGAGATTAACTGGTGCCAGACTTGCTCCAGGTCCCGACTTAATTGGGAACCCGATTTTTTTCATTCGAAAGAAATAAAAAATGTATTCATCTCTAATACAAATTTAACGCTATAATTTATTTCTGATACATGGCGAAATTAATTGTAGAGGAGACAATTTTTTGTTTGAAGTGAGGGGTCGTCAAGGATCAACTACCCCACACCCTTGCTTTTCCCTGGGCGCCCCTGTTTATGAATGTCTATGAAATAACAATGATTCCGATTTGCTAATACCGGAAGCTTTCTCATGAAGTTCGCTAACCTCTTCTTTCCATTCTTGGGAACCTGTTAATGACCGGCGGAGTACGCAATAAACAAGAAATTATCAGTTTTCAAAAAATGTTGATAGCGGTGATCTTATCGTACATTTATAACAATAATGCCAGAAAACTAAAATATTTCTTGAAAGATAAAGGAATTCAAATTGCATGCAACACCGAAACGCACCTCAGTGCAGACTAGACATTTAACGTGCCAGGTTACAACGTAACATGAAAAGAGAAAGCTCTTTATCAGTCTTGTTAAATAAACGAAAACAGTAATGATAAAACCAAACAATCAAGGAATTTACAAGTAGGTTACACGTTATACACTATTCATTCACTCAAAATTTTATGTGACGTCACTTCATTATACAAAATGCCTATTTTAAAACGACTTTATGTCCTGTTAACTTTTATTTTTAAATGAAATGATACAAATTTATCTTCCTGCAGTAAAAATAAGTAATAAACTTAGTGTGTACGTCTCTTTGGTCAGATGTCACACCATACTTGGTCCACGACTTACGTTTCCATCCACCACATAACGGTTCACTCTCTTTTCATATGCCCCATCCGCTCAGCACGGCCGCCCCCTAATATCTGAACTCCCTTTAATTATTTGTTGATTGATTAGTGATTCCGGGCACGTCAACTGCTAAAGCCATTCATCCCTTTAGTGGAATGTTCGCTCTCTTATCGTTGGAGGTGGCGGTGATTTTCGCGAATGGCGAGATCCGCCCCAGAGTTTTCCCAACCAAGTATCACCCACTAACGGGGCACCGCCCCAAACGGGATAAGCTCTGAGCTCCCGACTGATCTTCAAGCTATGTGATAGAGTAGTGCGTGTAAGCGGGTGTAAATAAGGGGATAGGAAAGGGGAAGGAAATATCGCGCGCGGTTCCTGACTCGTGTTTTAGGGTACTGCTCCGACATTCGCCTGGTGTCGAGGAACCATGCGGAAAACTACCTAGTGTTACGGCATTCGCTTACGAGAAGCCACGTAATACTACTGATCAGAGTAGCTCCCCTTCAGATTTTCCCTCTAGACAACGGCTGAATTCGACCTACCCGGCGCGCGGCGATGGCGTAACGGTTAGCGTACCGGACTGTTGTACCCAAGTTGGCCGGTACAACAGTCCGGTACGCGACTGCGAAAAAATAGAATTACGGCGAAAAAATCCTTTGTACGACGTAGATATACTTGCATGTAAAAGATCCTCTAGCCTAAATGACGCCTCTGAGCTAAATTGAAATCGCCTATTTCTCTCCCAAGAAATACCTTTCTCTGCTAGTTGGTGAAAGGAGCGTAGAGAAATTTGCGGGGTCCGACGGAAGAGCAGGCCTCATGGCCTGAGTCTCGCCACGTAAAATAAGGCATTCATTCAATTCAATTCAATATCCCTGCAGCTAGTAACGAAAATCCTGCTACCATTGGGATTCAGACCCTCGAACCTCCCGCTCGTAGGCCCAATTATATGTTTTTTGGTTTTAAATTTTACGCTGCTGTTGAACTTGATTAATTTTTCTCTCTTTTTCCCCCTCTTAAAAGCATTTCTCTTCCGCGTCTTATTCTGTTACAGTTCAAACTCGCAAGAGGTTAATCTACAGCGGGTGTCTACAGCGGGGATAGGAGGCGCTGCATCAGCACATACTTTCTCGCATTATTTCTAAATTTGCAATTTTCGAAATTCAGAGAGTTCAACGAAACTGAGATTTGCGTCATCCTTTTAAGCGTTCCTTGTTCTATCCGTGGAAAAAAACTTAGAGCGGTATTTAAGAAAATGATTTTTTTAAATTAATTGCATAAATTTAAAGCATAAATTAAGCGAAAACTTCTCGTTAAAAATGTACATTACCTTTTTTAAGGAGCTGATTTTTTAGAACAGATTTTGTCGAAGGCAAATATCTGTTAACTTGAACTTTGTACTTTTGACATGTTAATTTTTTGCAATTTTTTGAAATACAGTCAGCTTGAAGGAAATTACTAGTACCATTTTTTACCATTCTTTAATACATACGAACAGAAAATTTAAATAAACAATTTGGTGCCATTTTTGAAATTAAAATTGTTTTAAAAATGGCCTATACTTCACGCACAATTACTCCATAGCCACTCGATATTTTCGAAAATTGTATACAACCTTATTTAAAGACGTGTCTTTAAAAAACAGATTTTATTAAGGGAAAATATATCTTTATTATTGAGTTGTACGAAGACTCCGAAAAAAATTAACTTTTGAAAATTTCCAAAAATCAGGGATTTCAACGAAAATGAGACCTGCACTATTCTCTTAAGCGTTCTAAAGAACAAAGTTTAGTGACAAAAGTTAGAGCCATTTTGGAGAAAATTTTGAAAATGTTCAAAATTTTGAAGCTTTGTATATAGTACCCTCCAAAATAAAAATATCCGTTTCTAACTTTGAGGGCCTTGAGTTCATTTAAATCGATCGCGTATTATCAATTTTGGAGGCAGTTGGCTCAACGTTTTAGACCAAGAATTCCTAAACATTTTTTACCTCGCCCTCATTTGTCAAGAGGAAAACTTCCTACGTCCCTCGCAAATTTTTTATTTCGTAATGAATAAAACTAGTGTTATATTGAATAACAATATATTTTCTTTTTTACTCTTTACAATATTAAGTTAATTATGGTTAATTAATTAAAAATTTCGGTTTCTTTTTTTCTGCAGTAAAGTCTGGAAAATGCAATACACTTTATATCTATCGGATTTATGCCTAATTTATATTACAACATATAATTTAAATTAAAAAGTAAGGGGAAAGAAAAATCAATGATGAGCTCGCATTCTTGTGATTAATTGTGATCAGTTCCTATATGTCCGCAAAGAGTTTTAAAATGTCGAATATTTAAAGCGTTGTTTTTTTATATTATTAACCATTATAATACATAATTTTAAGACATACAGCTAAGATTTACAGATTTTGGAAGAGTTTATCTGTCAAAGATTGTCGGCGTATGAAACAAGCAATCGCGGTCACAGCAGCATTTTTCGCTTTTACCAATTGCACAAAGCCTGAGCGAGCACCAAGCATTTAAGGAGCGCCATCTTGCATACACCAATAAATTTTTCCCATGAAAGTTCATATTTATCAAAGAATCTGAGACTGCTTTTATCACATCAGCATCCTTTGTAGTTGTTTACAACTCTGTAGAAAACAGTACGTCGTCTTTCACTCTTTTGTTTTCAATATATCGAACTTAAACTATTAACTGAGAACATTGATCTTTACTCTCGTCCAGCTGTATTGCAAAAAAGTGATAGTTTTATTCCATGAAACGCTTGATTTTTGATCGTTTCAGCTACATCATCAATACGTCA